GTATTAGATGTTTCCAAAGTCCAGCTGAGGTCAATCTACCTTTACTCATGTTATGGTGTAGGAGTGGTGTCATTTGACGTCTATCAGATGATATATTTAGCCTTGCTCTAAAGATCTTGTTTATATTAAAACCTTTACTGTATTTCAATGTGACATCATGTAATGAATAAGCCAACATAAAGTTGTGCATAAATATGAAGGGTTTTTGTTTTTAAATGAGAATGTGAAAATTCTGAAGCAGTTCTTTTTAGCTTTTGTTTCTAAAAATGTACAGAACCACTTTTGTTTTCAGTACAGCTGCAGGCCCTTTAGGTTATGTCTCTTGCTTTGTAGCTGGAATGTAAATACTTAGCCTCATTCTCAATTGGACCTAGATGTGGACTTTGACAGGGAAACTCAAGCAGATAACTTTGGTTTAGATGCATAATTTTTCCACTGTAGTATTTAAATTATAAGACTGATTCAGCTTTATCCATCTTCTTCTTAACTCTGACCAACTTCTATGTTCTTGGATCTCCACATAAAGAGGCCTCACCGACCACATCGCATGAGGTGGTTGGCTCTCTAAGATGAGCGAAATAGCAATTTAAAGGTTTTTGCACGTTGCCTTTATCAATATGCAGAACAAATGCTTAACATCAGAACATGCAAAACAGTGGGAGGAGGGGAAAAAATGGTGATCAACTTCTAACTGCAGACTGATTTATCAGTTCTGGGACATATTGCAGGTTTGGTCTCTGCATCTATGTTTGCAGGTATGAAACTCAGGTATCGCTGCATTTTCTATGCAGTGCTGCAATTAGTGAAAGCAGAGAGAGTATCTGCTTTGTAAAATGATATGTCAGAAATTAGCATGCTGTTTTGGGGACAAATTCCTTGCATAACTATTTTCTTGTGCCTGGATGCATCATCCAAGCAAACTATAGCTGTCAGCATCTCTCTGAGTGTTTTTTTCTGGTGTGCTGTCCTGCAGCTCTGAATTCATTTTATCGATTGAGAACAGTTGGGTTGTTGTATCACCTCGTCCTTATCAATTCATCAGTTAAAGTGGAATTTTTAGTTTCTTTTAAAGCAGAAATAACTCATTTAATAAACTGCAGCGTTAATGAAAATGAGGTGCCTTTTTTGTTCTTAGAAATGGGCCAATCTGTGCTAATAAGTGTTCAAATGTGTTGCATCTTACTATGAAATAAAAAGCTTCTCTTTCCGTTTGTTGACAGATGTTCCCACAGTTGTGATACTATAAACTCACATTTTGCAGTGGCAACTTTGACCTCCTTTCTTTATTAAGGTTAAGTATTGTCAATGATTCTGCTGTTTTTCTCTCCCATTTGTTTATTCGATCAGTCCATGTATTTTCCGTCATGCTTATCCCAAGCGGTGTTGCGAGGGGTGCTGTTGCCTATCTCCAGCTGTCTACGGGCGATAGGCAGGGTTCACCCTGGACAGGTCGCCAGTCCATTGCAGGGCAAAACAGAGACAAACAACCATTCAAACACACACTCACACCTAAGGAGAATTTAGAGAAGCCAATTAACCTAACAGTCATGTTTTTGGCCTGTGGGAGAAAACCGGAGTCCCCGGAGAGAACTCCTGCATCCACATGGAGAACATGCAAACTCCATGCAGAAAGAGCCCAGGAATTAAACCTAATACCTTCTGGCCGCAAGGCTGCAGTGCTACCCACTGCTCCTCTGGGCAGCCCAGTTTATTCATTTACAAACTAAATAGAAACAGAAACTGAATTGGTAGAAAAAAGATTTTAATTCATTCAGGGTTTCTGTAAAGATAATGTAAAAGTCATTTCTGATTACCATTGCCCTCAGAAAATTAAGCAATGATAATGAGTGGCTACAATAGCTTCAGATGCCAGAAGCTTCTTGCCTCTAAGTCATCTGATGGTTCTTATCATTTCAAACAAACCAATTTTTCCACATAGCAATCATAAAGACCATCTGGGCGCAGTGCTGCTGCATATTGTGACTAAAATAAATCCCCTCAGCTCTTACAAACATGCCATGGTCAAAGCAATGCAAAATCCTCATTTAAATAGGGCGGTACCTGTAACTTTTGCACCATTATAAAATACTCTCTGATCATTTATCTTGTAGATTAGAACCTTTATTGTCACTTTGCGGGGAACTTCAGAGGTACCAGCATCAAAGTCACCGGCAAACTGGATGCATGCAGATTCAAACAAGGTAAAAAATAACAAAAAAATGAGAGACAGTAGCTTAAGGGCACATTTACAACATAAGAAATTAATACTGTACAGTTTTTAAAAAGAGTGTGTCCAGTTTTGTGAGAATTTGGAGAGTAATTAGATAATTTTTTTTTGACTTTTTGCTGTTATTTAGGGCGGCAATTTTAAACAATTTGCAAGATATGTCCAAATGTTGTCCCCTTTCTTTGTCTGAAAGCACTAGGGAGACAAGCAGACCGCTTAATGCTCAGAAGCATGCCAATATACAAATGAATCCATGAGATTTTGAAAAGTAGAACCTTAGACTGAGTTTCATCTATATCATCAACCAGAAATTACTAGAGGATCAGACAGGTTTATGTAGCTTGCATGTTGTTGGCAGAGTCATGCTGTGGGTCTGCTCTGCTACCAGAGGTACTAAAAAAAAAATCGATAAATTAGCAAGGGCAAACAATTTTTACTCCTTCACCTTCCATCTGGCATCTATTGAAACCTGGGATGATGCCTGATTTTGAATGGATACCAGACTGGGTACTAATGATGGGGACCAGATGATGAGATCAGTGAAATCCACGGGAGTCCCTTGAAATATATAAGCTGTAACTTTTGTGCCTCCTGATTTAACACAAACATCCAGTCATGTATCATTGAATATGCATCATTCCTTCCTTTTAAGGGAACTTCCTGTTCGATGTTCTGTGGTGAACTCTGCTACACAGGATCCTTCTCTCTACCTGACATCACTGCAGAAAATGTTGATGCTTTGGGAAAACAATCACATCTAATCACCAAGTAAAAAAAAAATTAATAAATAATGTTTTATAATATTGTTTTTAAATTGTGCAACAGACAGTGTCAAAAAGTAAGTTTCCTCCTCCTTAGTTTACCTTTAAATATTTTATTTTCACCGTCTCTGTTTGATTTTCTGTAAAGGTAAAGTGTTATAGAAGCAAAACTTCTAAATATTTATACAGTTCTTGTTTCATAAAATATAATATACTAAAGTGAAAGCAGAGGCAGACTGATGTTTAAGTGGTATCAAAAAGAGATACACAGTAGTTCATTCAGATTATTTCAAAATTAAACCTGTTTAGACTCTGTAAAACAAACCTGTCCTATATTTATTTTTAATAAACATTTTCTCTGAAGAATCTAGATCTTGTTTAAAAAGAAATAAATCATGTGCAGCTGACTAATCTTTAGGCTATAAGGAAGAACCATCGTGACATTTACTGTACAAAGTCAGAGGGAAACACTAATAAAATTAAATCATATGCAGATGACCAGAGATGGGAAGTAACGAAGTACAAATACTTCGTTACTGTACTCAAGTAGATTTTTCTGATATTTTTACTTTACTTTACTACTTATTTTTATGGCGACTTTTTACTTCTACTCCTTACATTTTTACACAAATATCTGTACTTTCTACTCCTTACATTTTAAAAAATTGGCTCGTTACTTTAGTTTTGAATCAGTTCAATGGAGTTACCGTTATTATTTTTCACGTCATCAATACCAAATTCAGTCTAATTGGATGGGAATCTACGTTGCATTTGACGCACCACTACAAGATGAATCGACAGATTCGGCGGTATTCATTCGCGGCAAATCATTGCAGCTTGGTGGCGGTGGCGTTAGCATAGTAGCATGGACGACGAGATGATTGCAAATGAACACAACGGAGATCTAGTCCTATTGGCAGACATCCATTTAAAATGTAGGCAACGGCATGAAAAAAGTGGTTTCTACTTTTACTTTTATACTTTAAGTAAATTTACAAGCCTGTACTTTGTTACTTTTACTTGAGTAAAGAAGTTTAATCAGTACTTCCACTTTTACCAGAGTATTTTCTAACACAAGTATCTGTACTTTTACTCAAGTACGGAAAGTGAGTACTTTTGCCATCTCTGCAGATGACTCATTTTGAGTGCTAGAGAATAAACCATAAAACATGTAGTTCTACCAAAACATAGCAAATCAAAATGTATTAAAAACATTTGATTTTTTTTATTTATTTTTCTCAGATCTTCTAATCACATCTAATGCTTGTTTTATAAAATGAAACACAGAGAAAATCTGTAAGAATTGTAAAATTCTAGCAACACAATGAAGCGCAAATCTTGTTCATCTTAAGTAAAAACAAAAAAAATCCAAACAACACGAATTCTATTTTAGAGATAAAAGACAAAACTGGGATAACATTTCATTTATCTAAATTATACACTGTCAGTTTCAAGTGAAGCAGCTCCACATGGGCTTGTTTACACTTTGCAACTCCTTATTTAACTAATGACAGCTCCATGAACGCCACCTAGAAACTGCACATTATTACATCCGAGACGGTCAGACCTGTAAATAACTGTTAGGTGAAGTGACATGCAGGCAAAACAACAGCAACAACAACACTGGGTATTTCTCATTGAGTTTGTTTCACTGAGATACTGAATTTACAAAAGGGTTCCTTTCATCCCAGTCCCAAAAAATGCGCAAGAGTTATGAAGTAACAAATCACCTGTTGCTATAGCCCCTTTCTTTTCCAGCTAAAATCTTATTACCAATAGGTACAGTTTATATATGCCGAGTTTATCACTGACCACATCCACCTGCACAAAGACTAAGTGATAGAAAGAACACTGGGCTTTTGGACCAAACATCATTTATCATGCCCCACATACTTTTGCAGTATGTCCTTGTCTCCTGTGCAGCACTTATCATCTGCCTGTCCCTGATAGGACCAGGGACAAGCCTTAATAGGTGACTTATTAGAACCGAGCTGGTAAAACATCTCCACGCATTATCATCACTAAGGTGGAATCTTTTTTTTTTTTTTTTTTTAATACATAGCTATAGACTTTATATCTGCTTTTGTCTAACATGCAATATAATAGAAGGTCCAAACTCCTGCCAACCATCCACACCTTAAAAAATACAGTCAGGGATACTTCACTGAACTCTGTGATAAGTGGTTTATTTTTAATAAAGATAAAACCCTAAATATTGCTACTGAGGAGACATTGTCAGCCATCAGGTGACACTGCTCTCACTCATAATGACTCTTATTATTCTCCTTTATGTCCTTAAATGAGTCACATGGCTCAGAAACACAAATAGTCCATGAAAGGTAGCCTCTAAATGTATGCTTTTCCAATAATGTTTTTTTTTTTCTGTGGCTATTGGATCACCGTGCTGGGAATTGTCTGTCGCAGGAGATGATAGAGGAGTGTAGTCCAGAAAGCACTGAGACACACACCAGATAGAGTCACAGCCAAATCGCTGGCCTGTCTGAGCCACTCTTCGTCATGCAGAGTCAGCCATGCACTCCCTGCTGCTCTCCCCATGTCGTCTGCCTGGTCTGTTTGGCTCACAGGAGCTGTCCTCCTCCTCCTCAGAGCAGATGTCTTACTTCTTCGCTCTGTAATTTAAAGAAAAGTAAAATGACATGACAAGCATGAGGTTAAAAAGTTAATGAATACCTGGGAAACTGGGCCATCTTGTGGCTAAGGATTGCAAGTGGATGCAGAGCAGGAGCAACGTCAACTTACCAAGAAGGTCCTGCAAAGGCACCACAACTACAACAACAATCATGGACACCATGGATGCATATGCCTACAAGGAAAAACTGCAATTATTACAATTTTAAATGTTAAAACTCAAAAATAAAAAAAAACATTTAATGGATTTCATGTCGAATTAACAGTAACTTGTATAATTGAATGATTGTTTGTAAAACATTATCAGACCTAAGCAGAATTTTATGTGATAAACCAATCAAAAGTGAAATCCATCCATCCATCAATTATTTATACACGCTTATACCAAGTGGGGTCGCGAGAAGCGGGCGGCGGGAGGCGGGGTACACCCTGGACAGGTCGCCAGTCCATCGCAGGGCATCACAGAGACAAACAGGACCTAACAGTCATGTTTTTGGACTGTGGGAGGAAGCCGGAGTACCCGGAGAGAACCCACGCATGCTCAGAGAGAACATGCAAACTCCATGCAGAAAGACCAAGGGCCGGGAAGTGAAATGAAAATGACAAATGTTCTTTTACTCTCTTTCTTTGTTTTGCAAGTAGGTCAAACTTAAAGGAATAGTACACCCAAAACATGATTAGCCTTCATTTTCTACTCCCCCCCATGCTGAACAACACTCTGGAGTACTTTTTTGATATCTCAAATGCATCTGGAGATCTGGGAGGCTTCTTGCTGTCTGCTGACATTCAAATAATGGAGGTCTATGGCGCCCAAGGCAGAAAGGTCCATAAAAGTTCACAAAAAACGTGTCAATATTCCTCCATACTGCTCTTCCAATGTATTCCAAGTGTCCTGAGTGGGTAGCATCCAGAATTTACTCGAACTGAAGTCATTTAGAATGTTTTTAGAGCATAAACAGTAGTGTATAGGATTTCCTAAAAGCGCGCGCATGCGAGTTCACGAGTCTACGGAAACCGCAGCAGACCAAACCAGACGAAAGTGCGCATTCAGCTCGGCAAAGAACTCCTGCTCTTCCTCAACACTGAAGTCCTCATACATTTTTCTTTCGTTGTTTCTTTCTTTGCACAGGTAAACGGCACATTTCTTCTTCTACGCTTGCATTATCGGCAGAGCAGACGCTGAATGCGCACTTTCATCTGGTTTGGTCTGCTGCGGTTTCCGTAGACTCATGAACTCGCAGGCGCGCGCTTTCAGGAAATCCTGTACACTACTGTTTATGCTCTAAAAACATTCTAAATGACTTCGTTTCGAGTAAATTCTGGATGCTACCCACTCAGGACACTTGGAATACATTGGACGAGCAGTATGGAGGAATATTGACATGTTTTTTGTGGACTTTTATGGACCTTTCTGTCTCGGGCGCCATAGACCTCCATTATTTGAATGTCAGCAGACAGCAAGAAGCCTCCCAGATCTCCAGATGCATTTGAGATATCAAAAAAGTACTCCAGAGTGTTGTTCAGCATGGGGGTGAGTAGAAAATGAAGGCTAATCATGTTTTGGGTGTACTACTCCTTTAAGCCAGATCCAATAGAGACTAAAAAGAAGAAATGTTCAAGTTTTGCTACAGATTCTTAGCTTGGCGTGTGTCTGAACTTTCACTGGGCCGGTAACAGATGAACATGCCTGGATCTTAACCAGAACACTGGAGGAAGGTAAACTGCTAACCAGGTTTTTAGCAGTTTTCATTAGGTTTTTTTCACACCATTATCCTATTTTTACCTCCCTGTCCTCACCCACAGTACACTCTGATGGTGCTGAGGGTGATCCATACCCATATGTGTTTACTTATATGTGCTAAACATAAACATAAATAATATTCTTCTAATCTAATTACAGCACCTTCTTTTTGTAATTAGCAAAAAGACACAGTGCAGTCAAAGGCTTCTCCAACATGAGCTGTTGATCTCTGCAGCTCCTCAAGAGTTACCAATGGCATCTTAGCCGCCTTTCATATTTTTTAATCCATTTTCAAAACCTCTGGAAAATATTTTCCTTACTCATCTTCACATTGTTTCTTTGTCTTCCTTATTAGCAAAGCCTTTAAAGAGCAAACTGCGGGTTGAATTTTAACAAAATTCAAGCAGCGCTTTTTCTAATGGATCATATATGAAAGGTTTATTTAGGATTTAGTATTTAGGATGCATAAACAGTTTTGTCTTCCATGACAAAGAAAATGTACCAATAAAAAGTGCCATTTTTAAGCAGTCTCTAAAAAATGCCTTTTTATTACTAAGTCGATTCATTTTTCGTCAAGTCTGGGAGAAAAATAATGAACAATGCTTTAGCTCTGTGTAGAGAGTAGGGAGTTATGGGGTAGAGTGGATGTGTAATTGAGTTTGGTAGATGTTTGTGATTGCATTTATGAATTATAAACATTGTCAAAGATTCCCTCAAATATTACTGTTTACCACCTGAGATAATGTGACATGAACTGTTTTTAAGCTCTAAAAACAGATTACTGCGCAAAATCTCTTAGAATGACGTCTGAAAAATAGCAGGATGCTGCTGGTGGGAGATTGACTTTGAAGACAAGCTGCGCCACTGTGACTGTCATAAGTGACGCCACTGTTCCAATACAGCAACGGATTAATTCTCCGTCAGTCTCTCAGGGTATTCATTATAGGGTTGGTTGTTTCCCAATTCAAAAATACTTTTTTTAATTCCATAGAGAAATAAAATATGTGTAGTCGTAAACATTTAAGGTCTCTTTGTCTGAATTGATCTCCACTGTTTACTGCTGTAAAGCTATGCAGGCTTCCCACATTACATCACTTCTGCTGCCTGTTTTAGATACAGAAATACAACTTTCTCACAAAAACAACCCAAAAAGGCTAAATAGTACATCTTGATTCAAAACCAATCCCTCACATATTTTGCATAAACCAATAAAAGTCAGGCTCTAACCTGCAATCTGTTCTTTAAAGAATACCTTTATTTAAACAAAGGGGACATAAAATGCACACCGCACTTTTCAGATTTTGATTTTCACTTTATGTTGGTTTGTCACATAAAAGACAATGACCTTTATGATTCTAAAGTAACAAAATATTGCTAAAAATAAAATCATGGAACCATGGGTTATGAATGCTCTGGCATGCTACTGCACTGTACTGGCAACAGCATGTAATTAATAAAACCATTAATTGCTATTAATGTAAACATGTCCATAGCTGTATATTGTCTTTTATGCTCCAAGTCCACAGTGTTAATATTGTTAAAACACTTTACAGTACAGTGTTTTATTTATTTTTGACTCTTCACTATTATGTTATTCTTTTCTGAGTGCACATCTATGCAAATATTTTTTCTATAATCTTTTTGCTGCTGTAAACACCAGAATTTCCCCATTGTGGTACAATAAAGGGAATTTCTATTCCACTGCATCTAGCATTCATTAGAAGCTGGATTATTATAACCTAGAGTAGGTTAAAGGCTTAAGGTGTGCTGTTCTTCTATTCTTACTACACTCAGTATGAGGCGGCTGCTTCAAGCTCACCAAAAGGAGCTGTGCTGGGCTGTGAGTCACGCTCCTCCAGGCTTTTCCCATCTGGAGTCCGAGCAGAGCTAAAGAACAGGGTGTAACTGCCTCATCATTCTCAATCTCTGTACATCTAAGAGAAGGAGACAAAATATTGTGAGCCGAGCTGCGCACAACACCAGTTACATCATCAGCCCTAATAAGTATAGACCAGACGAAAGCAGACATTGCACATGCTTCAACAAGCCCTCACCTTTTTAAAATCTTCTCCGTCACAGACTCCACTCCATCCCAACGCGATGCATTGAAGGCAGCAAGGACGCTCTGTGGAAGGATGTGGCCTTTTTGAGCCAGAACGGCTAAGTTGAACATTCCCTGTGAGTCAGCGTGAAAACAGAATGAGGTGTTTTTCACTCTGAAAGTCTCCAAATAATGACAGCATGTAATGCTGTTTGTTGTTTTTTATTGCGCCAGGACTTAGCCTGTGGAAGTTTAATTAAGTTTATCATAGGGTGATGAGATTATGGCTCAAGTAAATCTGTCACCTGAGGGCTGCGTGCCAGAGCCGCTCTGCTATACATTGATACGGCCTGCTCAGCCAAGGATAATGAGTTTCCGTGCGCGCTGGAGGAATGGTAGTAGTAGTCTCCTATTTTCAGCAGGGCTATAAAGAAGACACATATTTGCTGTTCAGTGACCAGACTGGCAGGAAAAGAGAGGGAGAGGTTAAAGCAAAATGAAATGAGATGAACTCACTGGACGGATGAGGATCAGAGTTTAATATAGAGTGGTTTTGATATCTCCACAGACAGTCATAACCGAAGCCCAGCTCCTTGGTGGGAGAGAGCAAAGCAATAACGAGGGTACGTTATCAACCGCTAATAATTTCCCTCCGGGATACTTCTCTTCATTTAGTGTGTGACTGGAATTATGAGCGATTTGTCCATTAGCTACAATAACAACTCCAATTATGATACATTAACTGTAGAACTGAGCTGGAATCAGATTAGAGGACGAGGGTTCGAGCTTCAGGGATACACATGGAAGGGTTAGGAGCAGAAAAAGGGGAAGGGTGTACCTCACACAAGTGAGCGACGTTACTCTGGGCTAAACCGAGGCCGGTTTCAGCAGCCAAAATGTACTTAAGAAGTGCTTTCTCCCTGCGGGCAGAACCACAACACAAAGGAAGGAGAGCAGATCAGAGGGAAGGATTGAATGAACATGAGTGAAATGAAACTGAAATTAATTTTCCTACCGAGCTCCCTTGAGGTGGGCCTGAAGAGCCTCCCTGATCATAAATCCAAGGTGGCCGTTCTGTTTGCAGGCCTTTTGTTGCAATCTGTGTAGTGAGTTGTATGAAATATGATTTATAATGCAGTGCAAAGGATTTATACCTCCTGAACTTTTCCACTTTTTGTCATTTCATTTCCTCGTACCAACAAACTCCAATGTGTTTCATTGAGCTTTTATTTGACAGACAAACACAAAGCAGTGTATGATTCTGAGAAGAAAAATAACACATTTTGTTCAGGTAAAAAAAATGAACTATGAATAAGATTTGTTTCCCCGTCAGTCAATATTTTGTATAACCAGCTTTCGCTTCAAGCACAACAGTGATTCTTGTGGGGTACATCTCAATCAGCGCTAGACATTGATGTTTTGACAATTCATCTAGGCAAAATACATCTTTTTGCACTGTCAGAGGCTGGCAAGAGAAAATATTTCATTTCAGATGGAACATTTTTTGTTAGATACCCTGTAAAATGTCACATACTTTTACAAAATCTGGGCCAGGAGTACCTATGCACAGACTGGCATTTGGATTTCAGTCTAATGCTACATTCACACCGCAAGCAGCAGAGGCAGCAGAAGCAGCTATTTTACATACACAGTGAAAAAACGATCTAGAAAGAAGTGAGAAATTCTTAAAATAAGTGTATTAAGCCTTCATTTTAGTAGGTTAATCAGATGATTTGCCAATGGAATCAGTATTTTTACTCTTCAAATAAGAAAATTTGATATTATTTATTTGAAATAAGACAAAGCAATTACTTTTTTTTATTTTAAATGTAAATTGCCTTGTTCCATTGGCAAAGTGTCTCCCTTACCTCATCAATTCAAGAAAAATGCACTTATTTTAAGAAAAAAATGACTTATTGAGATTTCATTTTTTTGCAGAGCAAAGTCAATGGTTGACGCACATCTTGGTGCAGCAAAAGTTGCCGCAGTGCATCTCAGCTTCTGAGTTCTGAGGCGTGCAACGCGCTTCAGAAAACACCAGCTGCTGGAGTTGGAAAGATGTAACTTTTGCGGCTCGACGCACCTCATCAACCAATCAGAGAAGCTGATCTGGGAGCTGGCAGGGAGACAGAAACAGCACTGCTGATGCAGAGCACTATGATCACTCCACTGAAACAGTTTATTAACGCCTAAATTAACCTAAAATGTCGGAACCTGCCGGAAAAATCTGTTAGATTTTACAGTATTATTCTGGTGCCTGCAGTTTGGATTACGTATGTGCAAAACGCTAACATCTACTTCCAGCCGCAGCAAACAGTAGCAGAAACCCGTGAAGAGGCGACCGGGCCAGAGGCTACTGTTGAACGGGATTCCTGGTGACAGCGAACCGCCAGTGTAATGGTGTCTGAGCAGCTCTGACAGCAAAATAAGATTTGAAGGCAGGATCATAATCCTGATGAACTGACTGCACAGCTGAAGTTTTTAGGTGGACTTTCTCGCTGAAAAACATATTAAAACTACTTTTTACCCACTGATCACAGCAAATATAGCTGCCATTGTTACTGGCAACGAAAGGATAGAGTAGCTCCGCCCAATGCACATCAGACCAGCTTTTCGACCGAAAATCTATAACTAAACACTGGACAATAGAAGACGCAGAACCTAGACTCCAGGCAAGGTTGATTTTATACTTTTTCCAAAAGACTTTGGACCAAACATTAATGCATTAACTAAGTAATAGTTATTTTCCTACTTAGTTAACCTACAACAATTCTGATGTTGTTGCCAATTCAATTTTTTTTGTTCATGCATAAAGAAACTTGATTGACTTATTCCACTATTTGTCTAAAGGGATTCTGCTTGGTAGTCCTATCAAGACTGCAGTTATAAATGTTGATGGTGCAACTTTTCCTGCTAAAGGTTTTCCTTCCACTCAACTTTCTTGAAAAATTATATTGTAAAAGTTACCACATTGATTGTTAGAAGACAGGCAGTAGTCTTGTAATTGTGTAGTCTATGGATCCAAAGAGCGACCATAGGGGCTCAGGAATCTATTTCAGGTCTTTTATGTTACCAAAATAAAGAGGATGTGACAACATGAGTTTTTTCAGTAAATCTAGGATTGTTTTTTTTATCTATACAGTATAATCCAAAATCGCCGAAATGACAGTAAATACACACTTTAAATATTTCCCTGTCTGTAATAAATTTAGACGACATAAGTTTCTCTTTCTAAAATCAGTGACAGCAAATATATAACTTTTTTGTGATGCAGGCCTACCTGTAGCTACAGCAGCATATAGCCAACTGAAGCCCAATTCAAGCTAATCGAAGAAAATCATGGTACAAAATAAATTCAGCTTCTTACCCGACTGTTAAAAAATGTATCCCCAGTCACTTGCATTGGGTTACTGTGGGAAGAGTGGAAAGGAAAAGACTTTCTTTTAACATGTAACTTCCAGCAGAAGCTGTCTCAGTGTCAGCCTCCATCTGCTGCCGCCAGCTGGGGGTTTGAACAGCGCTTAATGGGATGTTCAAAGCTTTGAACATTGCTTTTTTTTTATTATTCTGCCCTGCTTTATACTTCCTCACTACTTTTTCTCTGACCTCTTTGGTGTTTTTTTGGTCTTTATCAAAGAGCTTCACTAGTATTCCCGAAAACTGATCCTGGACTGAGAGGAGAGAATGAGTCTTCTAATTGGACCTCTTATTGTTTGACCTCGTTTTGACATCACTTATTTAGGTCTATTAAAGTAACAGGGGTGAAATCAGAATTGTCAGATTAGTTATTATTTAAAAGGATATTATATTTCTTTCCACTAAACAGGTATGTACTGCACTTTGTTGGTCTGTCGCATTAAATCTCATCAAAAAATAATTAGTAATAGTTTGTGATTTAATTTGATAAAATGTGGAAAAGGTTCAGGAGGAAATCATACAGTTGCAAGCCAGTGTCCTTTATACCAACAGAAAACAGTTTAACATGCTATAAACACAGAAAAAAGATCACTTTAATATGGAGCAGCAACAAAGATGCTCTTTTAGGCTTGGAGGGATTTGGTTAAACAGAATCTCTCTCTCTACCAGACCACAATGCAGTGGCAGCAGCTCTTATTTATAGATATGCAAATACTGGTTTCTGACCTTGAATTAGCCACTGTCATTAAAATTAGCAGAAATTAAGCTGCAGGCTACAGTTTACCAGCCCACAACAGTGCTTTCTATACCAAGCTAATGAAAGCCTCTTACGTCACAGCCCTCTTCACATCCTGAGCAACGCCCTCCAGGCTTCCTGTCGAAAGGTACCACGCTGCTTCCACTGATGCAGCTACGTGGCCGAAGCGAGAGGCGTTCAGAAACTGCTCAAATGCAGCACTCTGTAGATAAAAGAAATACCATCAGCAAAGCGACTACATTTAGGGTGAGGAGCCAGTGAAAGGTCTGGAAATCAAAACCTCATTCCTCCATGGATTGTCAGGGTTTTCCCCACTGAGATGATAAATTCCCAGGTTGAACATCCCATCATCGCTCCCATTTAAGGCTGCTTGTTCAAAGTATTTTATTGCATTTCTGTGGTCCTTCAGCACAATCCCATGGTACCAGCCCAAGCCATTCAGGGCACTGATTGAGCCCTAAAGCGGGGAAACAGACACTGGTTTTTATAGGGAGCTCCTATGGAGTAAACAAACCGATTGATCGCTGTTCCCTCACCATTGCTGCTGCTTTTTTCAGAAGCTGAAAACCTTGAGTGTAGTTTCTCTTCACTCCCAGGCCCTGAAGGAATCAGCATCAATCAGCAAATCAATAAGTGTCAAAACAGAGACGGTGCACACACAAGCGCACACTCAGAATGCACTGTGTTCAATTCAGTCATAAAATAAGATCCTTATGATTTTGCACAACCTTCATTAGTAGGATGGAGTAGTCGTAGACTGCCGCCGGATTCTTCATTTGCATGGCACTCCTCCTGAACCACTTCACCGCGCTCGCTATGTCTTTGGAGACTCCATTTTGTCCCCAGTAAAGCATTGTTCCCAGACGTCTCTAAAGTTAATAGAGTTTTTATTAGTCAGTTCTGAACACGACTTGACCGTTGAGTGCAGAAGAGGAATTACTCTCTGCCCCTGTGTTTTTATGCATCTTTCACAGATAAACACACAGAACTAATTTGAATAATGAATCCTAAGGCAGCTTTTTGCAGGGATGTAAATCAAACATACCTGGGCTTCAGGGTCTCCCCTTTCTGCTTGGAATCTTAAATACTGAAAAACATCACTGGACTCGTCAGTCAGGGTGTTTAGATCCTCCTCATTTCCTAAATAGATAAGCGGAGGTGTGTATTGCTGCAGGGAAAACAAACACAGGGATTATGATGGTAAACTTGCAAATAAAACCAAATAGTTTCTGTTACCAATAAATCCTGCCCTGTAAACACTTGAAGCTATTAGAAAAGACACAGCTCCCTCGCTGGGTGCATCATTATCACTCATTAAATGAATTCAATATCCAGTCGGTGTGAAACAGCTGCAGTTTTCAGAGGCTTTTAGCTTTTTTTTTCCTTCTACTTATTGATATTGGATGACATTCAACATCAAGATGAATGTCATGCAGATTATGAAGCATTTGAAGTTTTTCTTTCTATTGTTGAAGGATTTTTTTAAACTACATATGAAACACCACGCAGCTTTTGTAGCCATCAACAAACGTCAGGCATAGACAAATATTTGGCTGCATAACTGACAACCCCTCTTGGCAGTACAGACCGAATTAACTTAAATGTATTGGTTTTAATCCTTAATGGAGCTAACGACCAATCAGAAGTGTTTTTGATGTGTGTTTGGGAACACTGCCCCATCCATCTGAGATAAGTGGTAAGCTCTGATCAAAGGGAATAGGTTTAATTGTTCCACAAAACTCCAGGAAACATTAGATGAGCCTTTTATAAACACGTTTGAAAAAATGTGCCATAGAGAATCCAATATTAGTTTAAACAGAGGGTGCTACAGTAACCAAGATCAATCTTCCAAGATCTACCTAAATAATCAGACTGATAAGAACTAAATCAATAGAGGAATATTTAGAGAAGTTAAGGTGAGGCTTTCAAACCTACACTGAATAAAACAATCTAGAAATAAGAAAAAATTATTAAATTAAGTGTATTTACCCTTTATTTGAGTAAGTAAATTAGATGATTTGTCAATGGAATTAGTATTTTTACTCTTAAAATAACATAAATTACGGTGGCCCTGAAGTGCAAACTGCAACTGCAAATCTAACAGCGCAACTACATTAAGGAAAACAAAATTACATAAAGCAAAGCGCTACTGCATTTAGAAAAACAAAACTACATAAAGCAAAGCGCAACTACATTAAGGAAAACAAAACTACATAAAGCAAAGCGCAACTACATTAAGAAAAACAAAACTACATAAAGCAAAGCGGGTACTACATTAAGAAAAACAAAACTACATAAAGCAAAGCGCAACTACATTAAGAAAAACAAAACTACATAAAGCAAAGCGCAACTACATTAAGAAAAACAAAACTACATAAAGCAAAGCGCAACTACATTAAGAAAAACAAAACTACATAAAGCAAAGCGCAACTACATTAAGAAAAACAAAACTACATAAAGCAAAGCGCAACTACATTAAGAAAAACAAAACTACATAAAGCAAAGCGCAACTACATTAAGAAAAACAAAACTACATAAAGCAAAGCGCAACTACATTAAGGAAAACAAAACTACATAAAGCAAAGCGCAACTACATTAAGAAAAACAAAACTACATAAAGCAAAGCGCAACTACATTAAGAAAAACAAAACTACATAAAGCAAAGCGCAACTACATTAAGGAAAACAAAACTACATAAAGCAAAGCGCAACTACATTAAGGAAAACAAAACTACATAAAGCAAAGCGCAACTACATTAAGAAAAACAAAACTACATAAAGCAAAGCGCAACTACATTAAGAAAAACAAAACTACATAAAGCAAAGCGCAACTACATTAAGAAAAACAAAACTACATAAAGCAAAGCGCAACTACATTAAGAAAAACAAAACTACATAAAGCAAAGCGCAACTACATTAAGGAAAACAAAACTACATAAAGCAAAGCGCAACTACATTAAGAAAAACAAAACTACATAAAGCAAAGCGCTACTACATTAAGAAAAACAAAACTACATAAAGCAAAGCGCAACTACATTAAGGAAAACAAAACTACATAAAGCAAAGCGCAACTACATTAAGAAAAACAAAACTACATAAAGCAAAGCGCAACTACATTAAGGAAAACAAAACTACATAAAGCAAAGCGCAACTACATTAAGAAAAACAAAACTACATAAAGCAAAGCGCAACTACATTAAGGAAAACAAAACTACATAAAGCAAAGCGCAACTACATTAAGGAAAACAAAACTACATAAAGCAAAGCGCAACTACATTAAGGAAAACAAAACTACATAAAGCAAAGCGCAACTACATTAAGAAAAACAAAACTACATAAAGCAAAGCGCAACTACATTAAGGAAAACAAAACTACATAAAGCAAAGCGCAACTACATTAAGGAAAACAAAACTACATAAAGCAAAGCGCAACTACATTAAGGAAAACAAAACTACATAAAGCAAAGCGCAACTACATTAAGAAAAACAAAACTACATAAAGCAAAGCGCAACTACATTAAGAAAAACAAAACTACATAAAGCAAAGCGCAACTACATTAAGAAAAACAAAACTACATAAAGCAAAGCGCAACTACATTAAGAAAAACAAAACTACATAAAGCAAAGCGCAACTACATTAAGAAAAACAAAACTACATAAAGCAAAGCGCAACTACATTAAGAAAAACAAAACTACATAAAGCAAAGCGCAACTACATTAAGAAAAACAAAACTACATAAAGCAAAGCGCAACTACATTAAGAAAAACAAAATTACATAAAGCAAAGCGCAACTACATTAAGGAAAACAAAACTACATAAAGCAAAGCGCAACTACATTAAGAAAAACAAAACTACATAAAGCAAAGCGCAACTACATTAAGAAAAACAAAACTACATAAAGCAAAGCGCAACTACATTAAGAAAAACAAAACTACATAAAGCAAAGCGCAACTACATTAAGAAAAACAAAACTACATAAAGCAAAGCGCAACTACATTAAGAAAAACAAAACTACATAAAGCAAAGCGCAACTACATTAAGAAAAACAAAACTACATAAAGCAAAGCGCAACTACATTAAGAAAAACAAAACTACATAAAGCAAAGCGCAACTACATTAAGAAAAACAAAACTACATAAAGCAAAGCGCAACTACATTAAGAAAAACAAAACTACATAAAGCAAAGCGCAACTACATTAAGGAAAACAAAACTACATAAAGCAAAGCGCAACTACATTAAGAAAAACAAAACTACATAAAGCAAAGCGCAACTACATTAAGAAAAACAAAACTACATAAAGCAAAGCGCAACTACATTAAGAAAAACAAAACTACATAAAGCAAAGTGCAACTACATTAAGGAAAACAAAACTACATAAAGCAAAGCGCAACTACATTAAGGAAAACAAAACTACATAAAGCAAAGCGCAACTACATTAAGAAAAACAAAACTACATAAAGCAAAGCGCAACTACATTAAGGAAAACAAAACTACATAAAGCAAAGCGCAACTACATTAAGGAAAACAAAACTACATAAAGCAAAGCGCAACTACATTAAGGAAAACAAAACTACATAAAGCAAAGCGCAACTACATTAAGGAAAACAAAACTACATAAAGCAAAGCGCAACTACATTAAGAAAAACAAAACTACATAAAGCAAAGCGCAACTACATTAAGGAAAACAAAACTACATAAAGCAAAGCGCAACTACATTAAGAAAAACAAAACTACATAAAGCAAAGCGCAACTACATTAAGGAAAACAAAACTACATAAAGCAAAGGGCAACTACATTAAGAAAAACACAACTACATAAAGCAAAGCGCAACTACATTAAGGAAAACACAACTACATAAAGCAAAGGGCAACTACATTAAGAAAAACACAACTACATAAAGCAAAGCGCAACTACATTAAGGAAAACACAACTACATAAAGCAAAGGGCAACTACATTAAGAAAAACACAACTCACAAAGCAAAGGGCAACTACATTAAGAAAAACAAAACTACATAAAGCAAAGCGCAACTACATTAAGGAAATCACAACTACATAAAGCAAAGCGCAACTACATTAAGAAAAACAAAACTACATAAAGCAAAGCGCAACTACATTAAGGAAAACAAAACTACATAAAGCAAAGCGCAACTACATTAAGAAAAACAAAACTACATAAAGCAAAGGGCAACTACATTAAGAAAAACAAAACTACATAAAGCAAAGCGCAACTACATTAAGAAAAACAAAACTACATAAAGCAAAGGGCAACTACATTAAGAAAAACACAACTACATAAAGCAAAGCGCAACTACATTAAGGAAATCGCAACTACATAAAGCAAAGCGCAACTACATTAAGAAAAACAAAACTCACAAAGCAAAGGGCAACTACATTAAGAAAAACAAAACTACATAAAGCAAAGCGCAACTACATTAAGAAAAACAAAACTACATAAAGCAAAGTGCAACTACATTAAGAAAAACAAAACTACATAAAGCAAAGGGCAACTACATTAAGAAAAACAAAACTACATAAAGCAAAGCGCAACTACATTAAGAAAAACACAACTACATAAAGCAAAGGGCAACTACATTAACAAAAACAAAACTACATAAAGCAAAGCGCAACTACATTAAGAAAAACAAAACTACATAAAGCAAAGCGCAACTACATTAAGAAAAACAAAACTACATAAAGCAAAGTGCAACTACATTAAGGAAAACAAAACTACATAAAGCAAAGCGCAACTACATTAAGAAAAACAAAACTACATAAAGCAAAGCGCAACTACATTAAGGAAAACACAACTACATAAAGCAAAGGGCAACTACATTAACAAAAACACAACTTCATAAAGCAAAGCGCAACTACATTAAGAAAAACAAAACTACATAAAGCAAAGCGCAACTACATTAAGAAAAACAAAACTACATAAAGCAAAGTGCAACTACATTAAGAAAAACAACACTACATAAAGCAAAGCGCAACTACATTAAGAAAAACAACACTACATAAAGCAAAGCGCAACTACATTAAGAAAAACACAACTACATAAAGCAAAGCGCAACTACATTAAGAAAAACAAAACTACATAAAGCAAAGTGCAACTACATTAAGAAAAACAAAACTACATAAAGCAAAGTGCAACTACATTAAGGAAAACAAAACTACATAAAGCAAAGGGCAACTACATTAAGAAAAACACAACTACATAAAGCAAAGCGCAACTACATTAAGAAAAACAAAACTTCATAAAGCAAAGCCCAACTACGTTAAGGAAAACAAAACTACATAAAGCAAAGCGCCACTACATTAAGAAAAACAAAACTACATAAAGCAAAGCGCAACTACATTAAGGAAAACAAAACTACATAAAGCAAAGCGCAACTACATTAAGGAAAACAAAACTACATAAAGCAAAGCGCAACTACATTAAGAAAAACAAAACTACATAAAGCAAAGCGCAACTACATTAAGAAAAACAAAACTACATAAAGCAAAGTGCAACTACATTAAGAAAAACAAAACTACATAAAGCAAAGCGCAACTACATTAAGGAAAACAAAACTACATAAAGCAAAGGGCAACTACATTAAGAAAAACACAACTACATAAAGCAAAGCGCAACTACATTAAGGAAAACACAACTACATAAAGCAAAGGGCAACTACATTAAGAAAAACACAACTACATAAAGCAAAGCGCAACTACATTAAGGAAAACACAACTACATAAAGCAAAGGGCAACTACATTAAGAAAAACACAACTCACAAAGCAAAGGGCAACTACATTAAGAAAAACAAAACTACATAAAGCAAAGCGCAACTACATTAAGAAAAACAAAACTACATAAAGCAAAGTGCAACTACATTAAGAAAAACAAAACTACATAAAGCAAAGGGCAACTACATTAAGAAAAACAAAACTACATAAAGCAAAGCGCAACTACATTAAGAAAAACACAACTCACAAAGCAAAGGGCAACTACATTAACAAAAACACAACTTCATAAAGCAAAGCGCAACTACATTAAGAAAAACAAAACTACATAAAGCAAAGCGCAACTACATTAAGAAAAACAAAACTACATAAAGCAAAGTGCAACTACATTAAGAAAAACAAAACTACATAAAGCAAAGGGCAACTACATTAAGAAAAACAAAACTACATAAAGCAAAGCGCAACTACATTAAGAAAAACACAACTCACAAAGCAAAGGGCAACTACATTAACAAAAACACAACTTCATAAAGCAAAGCGCAACTACATTAAGAAAAACAAAACTACATAAAGCAAAGCGCAACTACATTAAGAAAAACAAAACTACATAAAGCAAAGTGCAACTACATTAAGAAAAACAAAACTACATAAAGCAAAGCGCAACTACATTAAGAAAAACACAACTCACAAAGCAAAGGGCAACTACATTAACAAAAACACAACTTCATAAAGCAAAGCGCAACTACATTAAGAAAAACACAACTACATAAAGCAAAGCGCAACTACATTAAGAAAAACAAAACTACATAAAGCAAAGCGCAACTACATTAAGAAAAACAAAACTACATAAAGCAAAGGGCAACTACATTAAGAAAAACACAACTACATAAAGCAAAGGGCAACTACATTAAGAAAAACACAACTACATAAAGCAAAGCGCAACTACATTAAGGAAAACACAACACAACTACATCAAGCAAGGGCAACTACATTAAGAAAAACACAACTCACAAAGCAAAGGGCAACTACATTAACAAAAACACAACTTCATAAAGCAAAGCGCAACTACATTAAGAAAAATACAACTACATAAAGCAAAGCGCAACTACATTAAGAAAAACAAAACTACATAAAGCAAAGCGCAACTACATTAAGAAAAACAAAACTACATAAAGCAAAGGGCAACTACATTAAGAAAAACAAAACTACATTAACCTACAGGAAAAGGTAGGTACCAGTGGGAAACATGAGACATCGCTGATTGGACGACGGCGCAGTTTGACCCTTGAACCGGAAGTTGCTTCGTCTGAACAGTCCAGCTTCTTTTAAGTGTGTCTTCAGTGTACGCAAACTAACTAAAATTTCGTGATTAGTCTTGAGCATATCCAGTATCACGTCGTACGTATGTCCTGATTCAAAATATTCCTGGATAACGGCAGCTATGTTTGGGGCGCCGACAATATCCATGTTTTCAAAAGCCGCAGCAGGCAGAATGACTTCCGGTTCAAGGGTCAAATGGCGCCATCGTCCAATCAGCGATGTCTCACGTTTCCCACTGGTACCTACCTTTTCCGGTAGGTTAATGTAATTGTGTTTTCCTTAATGTAGTTGCGCTTTGCTTTATGTAGTTTTGTTTTCCCTAATGTAGTTGCGCTTTGCTTTATGTAGTTTTGTTTGTCTCAATGTAGTTGTGCTTTGCTTTATGTAGTTTTTTTTTCTTAATGTAGTTGCACTTTGCTTTATGTAGTTGCGATTTCCTTAATGTAGTTGCGCTTTTAGATTTGTAGTTGCTGTTTGAACTTCAGGGCCACCGTAATAAATGGATAATATGCATTTGAAATAAGACATTGCAATTGTTTCTTATTTCAAATATAAATTGTCTTGTTCCATTGGCAAAGTGTCTCATTTACCTTCTCAATTAAAGGAAAAAAATCACTTATTTAAGAGAAAATCATTTTTTGCAGTGTTAGAGCAGCAGTCCATTGGCACAGCATGATAGTGGGAGCATCATGCTACACAGGTTTGCTCTCAGCGGTGGTGATGCATTGCATGATATGTGTGAAATATGGCTGCGTGCAAAAGAGTGTAAAGATCCAAAATAAATGGTTTTGTAGCTAATTTAAAAAGTCCTGCAAATGCAAAAATGAGACCAATGGTGCGTTTACATCACAAAAGTGATTCCTGTTTATGTTTTTGCCCCATTCGCATGTTGTCACTGGCTTGACATTTGTTAGCAATATGTGGGGCCAAACATTTATGTATCTGCTGTGGCTTTGGTGACTACAGAGCGTTTCCACTTTGCTACTCTTTATTTTCTGGGATTGCAGTTTTTTTTCTTAAACAGCATTTATTCTTTGCAGGGGGGGTTTGTCAGTGTGTTAGTCTACAGTATGTTATGTATTTACTATAAATTCTAACCTAACACTGTAACTTAACCTCATGCCTGCTATGAGTCTATTTGAGGTGGTGAGATGTTTATTCATGTAAGGACAGTAACAGTAGAGTAAACCAGTAAAAATATATTTTTACTGGTATAAACTACAAGCTAAAGGATCTACACTGTTGTTCAGCTAAATATAGATACAGATGTGTTTTAGTTGCTTCTGATATTCATGATTCAACAATTAGTTTCAGCCACAAAAATGTCTCTGCTGCTCTAAATAATTGGGAGTGCGTGGATGAGGTTTGATGAGATTTGACTGACGGCTCTGCAATTTCAACAATCAGACTGCGGTTTACTCAGAGTCAGGTTGTGACTGACGATCAGATGACATCTCTTCTTAAAAAAAAGCACAGATCAGTATGATGATTAACCAGCAGGACTTAAAAATTTCTAGAAATAGAACACTGTTGCACTTTGATGCAATGCTGTCCATCCTGATCAAACTTTTAAATGCTTTTTTTTTTGCTCTTGTTACATTGATTCTCTGCTCCAGCGGAAGCAGACAGTCCTGTCTCTCTGGTGTTTTCATACAGCTCTCTTCATTACATGGAGCTTATTGAAAGAGTGATAGAATAAACAGGAAATCAGTAGGAAGCAGCCCTTTCTCACATAGCGGGCCTCTTATCTTTGTAGTGCTCCCTAGCATTCATCAAGACGGCATGATTTTTAAATGAAGATTTAGAGCTCATCCATCCTCCCTTTCCTGCAGCCTCCTCTCAACCCAGCTGGCTGGACAAACAAACGTGCAATTAATGGTATTTTTAGAGTCAGTATGTTTTTAGAAGGACGCTGCCATGTGCCACTGCGACATGTTTATTTGCTGTAACAAGTTCCCAACATTTTTGACATTTATCCTAATTCTAACTAAAAGATGACAAGGAGATCAATGCCACTTTTATCAGTTCTAAGATAGTATGGCCATTTGGTACCTTTTAAACTTTATTTATCATATATGCTCCTTATTAGGCATAAAAATTCAAAGATTAAAGCAAGGAGTTTCTGGTTATACCGTTAGTTGTAGTTTACTCCATTCAGTTCTTAATTGCATGTAAACGGATAAGCTGCAGGATCTGATTTTAGAAAGAACTGACAGGTTGACAGCAAAATCAATTTCCTCTTCCTCTAGCAAAATAAATACATAACACTAAACAACAGCAGCATGCTCCTATTTGTAGAGACATGAATGTACTAAACCAAATGCCTGTACTGAAAAAAAAAAGCGTCTAATTTCCCGTTGTTTTTCATTAATGACATCTCTGGGTGCTAAGATGTTAACAAACAAACAAAGTTACAGAGATTGCTACCTTAAACTCGTGCACTCGAGAGCCGTCAATGCAGCTCTGTGCTCCAACGTTGGAATAGTAGCCGTAAGCCATGTCCAAGTCTTCAGGAAATCCATCAAGTCCATGCGTGTGCTTGAACCCTGCATGCATCAGGGCGAAACGGTCATCGCCAGAGGCCCCAATCAAACTATAGACATGACCCTGAAACATATCCAACATGGAGTTTAACATCCACTCCTTAATAAGTCATTAGATGAGTAATAGAGCAAGGATGGGAAAGGTCTTAAAATATTTTCACATTGTTACTTTGATACAATCACAAACTAATAGTTGTTTTTCAGGACTGAATGCGATGGACTAACAAAGTTTTTCAAGTATAACATAAAAGGAGAATCAGACATTGTTTTAACATTTTTTCCATTTTTAGTCTGATATCTAAATGAAAACCATAAAGGTTTGGTAGAGAACATTATGAACAACATCAATCGTGAAGAAAAAAGAACACAGCAAACAAGTCAAAGAGAAATAAGCATAGTTTGACTAAACAATATATCACATTCTGAACATAAAAGTCCAATGTGGCAAAACTGGAAACCACTATCTGCTTAAAGCGACGACCTAGGAGAGAGATGAAGGAGCTCTGCTCAGATGAGACTTGTTGGTTTGCAGGCAGAAAGTTGGGATGCAGAAAACTAACACAACACATCAGCCTGAATATACCATCCATAGTATAAAACATGTTAGTGGCAGCATCATGCTATGGGGATGCTTTTCTGTAGTAAGCACAGGGAGGCTGGTCACAGCTAAAGGGTAGAAGGATGGAGTTGCATAAACTGGACGCCTGTTTCTGAACCCTTAGGGGAGTGGCGGCCTAGTGGTTAGCCCATAGAACCCTACGGACCCACCGGTGGGTCCAGCTGCTACGTGACCTCGTAATTTTAACAAACCCCCAGTATTGATGTAAAAAACACATTTGGCACAGTTTGGTGACATTTTTGGATAAATGTGCCAAAATGGCCTCTCCGCCTAAGATATTTCTCACTAATACCATTCTAAAATAAATATGATTCATCTGATTGAGTCCAAATTTGGTATATTTTTACACAACATTTAGATTTAAAAGTCTGTACTACTTTTTTGTGCTATAAATAATATTTTGGTAGTGTTTTGCAATGTTTATTTCAAAGACAATTTTGGCGAGTTTCAAAAAATGCAAAATATTTTGTATTTTGTCCCTAATATTTCAGGCAGGGTCAAAGCTACAATGGTGCTGACACCAGAAAACCATTCTATGACATCTTACCTTTACAGACGTACCAAAAGTTTCTTCTTAAATCTAATAGCTTTGAGGCTATAAGTTATTTACTTTTGTGTGTTTTTGTCAGGCAGAAATTTATTTATACCCCCTGAGATTGTAAGAGGTTAGGGCATAGAGCTTGGAATCCTGAGGTTATGAGTTCAATCCCCACTCCCATAGACTGCTACCCTGGCTCTCTGAGCAAAGACGCTTAACCCCACACTGCTCCCCGGGTGTTGCACAAAGGCAGCCCACTGCTCCCAAAGGGGATGGGCTAAATGCAGAGCTAAATTTTTCCAATGTGAGATCAATAAAGGTTGATTATTAATATTATTATAGAACTGTTACATTAAAATTAGGTCCTTTTTCACACAGTATGTTTTAATTAATAGTTGGTTAAACAGAGATGCAGTTTAACGCATTCTGTCTTTGCTGTTTCTCTGAAACCATCTTATAAAAATGTAGCAAAAAGGCAAGAGGGTCTCCAGCCTTGAAACGCTTTAAAAGTGCCCTTAAACACATAATTCAATTCAACGGACCACTTTTTGTCAAAATGTAAAAAAATCAAAATTTAATTATTATTAAAATAAAAGAAATAAGAAAAACTGATAATATAATGCAGTTCATATGAGCGAATAGAATGGAGGAGAATTAAATAGATGTAAATGAGCTGGACAAAGCTAGATTACATATGCCAGGTGATAACATCATAACATAATGAGAGCAACTTCATTCTGGGGTTCCAATTGTTTAGGAGGGGAAGAATGGAGGTGGATTTATTCATTTTTATCAGCGTCATTTTTATAGCCCTTCTTATAAAGGGTGAACTGGTTCAACAAGCGCTCCTAAAGATTGGGGCAGAGGTTCTCCTCCCAGCGCAACAATGATTCTAATCATGCAGGCTGAGCTACAATTGAATAATTTGGATCAGGGGTGCATAAGTCAAGTGCTGAGAGCTACTGCCCTGAAACTAAAAGCTGCCTGTCTTTTTAAAGGTCCCAAATTAAATGGTTTATTCTACTCATCAGCGTTTCACTTGGCTCATCAGCTAAACCAGCCTTTCATTGCTTTCATGTCTTATGGAGAAGTATCTAAAAGCTGCAGGATTGTTCTCCATGAGAACAAACCTTGGCATTCCTGGTTCAGATCAACACTTATTCCTAATTTAAAGTAGCCCAGTTAAAGCCCAGACCTAAATCGATCTAAAATTGAAAACAATTCACAACAAAACAATTCAAAACAAAGCCAAATTTCATTTTACTTCTCAATAGTTGGCTCTGGTAACTTAGCACGTATAGATACAGTGAAAAACACTGCAACCCAGTGTGGCAGTTGCGGCATAGATTCTACCTGTTCTTGATTGGCTGGGTAACCCAGGCCAGACAGGAAGATGGTGGCCAACAACAGAGACGCTCTGTGATTTCCAAAGCAGGAGGATGCTTGCAACAGAGCCATCGATTCAGAAGGGATCTTAATTTGTTTCTCCTCCACAAGGAACTCTGAGTTAATCGTTTGCTCAAACAAAACACTTCCAAGGTTTTTCAAACCCAAATGTCCTGCAGAAGCAGATAATGTGATGAACTGTTGGATAATTACAAAATAAGATGCACTTTTAATTTCCTTGTTATGTGAATCACCTGTTTGGGTAATTCCTTCCTCTCCTTGGAGGAAATGAAATAGAGTTTTGTATTTTAGTTGTTCTTCCATGCTCCATGTCTGTGTGCATGTTGCCTTCTTGGTATCGAACTGAGTCCAATGTGTCAGGTTGTTTGAACAGACAGCTGAAATAAAGAAAAAGAAGCAACTTGTCGCCATCATTTCTCTCATTCCCTGTGCAAATGCACCTTCCATGTCAAGTTCACACAAGGTGTTTCTCTGTTGATTGTTCTAACATTACATTTTTAAGACATTTTAAAACAAATTTCACCTTTGTTGGTCAGGGACAGAAGGTGACTCTCAGCTATTTGCTGCAGAAAAGCTATCGTAAAGCCTCTTATTTCCTGACACTCCATGTGAGCCCTGTCCAGCTCCTGTGCTGCTGGCATGAGGTGAAGTTGATTTTTTATCTGGAACACGAAAAGCAATGAAGTTGAAACAGGAATAAAAAGTCATAAAAACAGAACCAGCACTGTTTGTAGTTGCAGAGAGGAAATGTCACCTCATTGGTTCCAAAACGATAATACTTGAAAGGCCCGAAGTAGCCACGGATGCCTGGCATGTATCTGCCTCCCCCAATCACAAAGTATCCATCAGTGTCATCATAATGAATACTGTTCTGAAATCTGAAAGATATTCAATGACATTTAAAGTAGTAGTTCTAGTTTCAAACAAAGGTAACGTCCTTTCATTTAGTCATGTTAGAAAGAAAAGTATCAATGAAAGTTACTGGAATTTTATGAGACAAAAAATACTGCAAATTCTAAATTCAATTAAATTCAAGCCTTTAAAGTTGTCTTGTTGCATATTGAAGCATTTCAATATGCTATTTGACCTTATAAAGGAAAATTCTATTCAATTCTGTTTATCTATATAGCGCCATTTCACTCCACACGTCATCTCCAGGCCCTTTACAGTTCACACCAATCATACAATCAAATTGATTCAAAGTTTTCTATCTAAGGGAAACCAGTAGATTGCATCGACTCATTGACTCGAAGGCAATCCCTCACAACAAGCATGCTTGTAGCGACAGTGGAGAGGAAAAACTCCCTTTTAACCTGAAGAAACCTCCAGCAGAACCAGGCTCAGTGTGAGCGGCCATCTGCCGAGGCTGACTGGGGTTCAAGGAGACCGAAGCAGAGATACAAAAAGCAGCTGTAAAAGGCGGCCCCATCCAGGAAACACACAGCCAAGGAGACGAGCTCCGAGCCAGCTCCCATGACAAATGAAAGGGAAGCAAACAGATGCATGACTTTCATTATTTTTTTTTTTTTTATAATCTTAAAAAGTGAGTTTTTCTGTTGCAGACCTCATGGAAATATTTCATTGTTTTTTTTTCATTGAACTGAAGGCTAAAGTAACCGCTTCATGAAAGGGTTAATATATTTCTACTACTCAATGCTGCCACCACCATGCCTTACATGCCTGGTTTAGATTTATACTCTAAATAGCTCTTTGCATGTAGGCCAATAAGTTTAAAGTTTGGTTTTATCTGATCAGAGCCTTTATATACGTTCGCTTTGTCCCATACATTAACGGTTGCAAACTTTAGATAAGACATCTGCTTGCTTTCTTGCCACTGTATTTCATCATTCAACTCGTTCATCAATGTTCACTAACATTACAGATTAGTTGTATTAATCCTGAGATTAAATCAGTAAATAATTTGTTTTAAAAAGGCATTCAGGTATTAAAAGTTCTTGGTTATGTGTATCAGAGTAAAGGGCTAAACACAAATGCACTCCACACTTTTCAGAGATGAATTTGTAAAAACATGGTGCTATAGTTCTCTATAGTTGTAGTTTCTTCTACTTTTACAGCTTTGCACCACATTTTATTAATAAGGGTTAGGGTTACTAGAATCCAAATATTTGACGAAATCTTTATTTTCAATGTGATAATCGAAAAAAAGAATGTCTGTACTAGGGCTGCAACTAACGATTATTTTAAAAATCGATGAATAGGCCGATTATTTTTTCGATTAATCGATGAATCGGACAAAAACAAAATTTTATATTAACTTCTTTATTCCAAAATAAACATTTTAGACAGAACAAACAAGCACACAAGTACAGGTTGCTCATTAACTGTACTGGTGCAATATGAAAAATAAATGTTTGTGTAAAAACTACGCAAACTTACATGAGAAATGTAGCTGTACATCCACAAAATATAGGCTACTTTGTTTCATAAAGCGCAAAAAGAGACAGGCATTTTTGTTTTTTAAAGCCCCTAAGGGGTTCAAACAATAGGTCCCCCCATTTCAACAAATTAGTTTTTTTTAGACTAGAAGAGTTCTGCCTTTTAAGACAGGAAAGTATAGCAGTTAAAGTTGCTACTTGAGAAAATACTGAACCATAGAGATAAAAATAGCCCTGTGATTCTAATTATAAATTGTATTTGGAATAAAAATGAGAGAACTAGGGGTGCTAAAAAACACATCCTCCAAAGACAGATATTTACATGGGAATGTGGCAGATAATTAATTGACATATTACTGATCTTGCTGGATTTTGTTCTGCTTTACTTCCATAAATTGCAGGATCTTCTTTTCTTTATCTTTGCCAGAAGATTTAAACTTTAAAAGCCTTGCCCTCATAATTTGCAAGTTAATTTATTTATAAAGAAAATATAAACGCTGCTTAACCAAATTTAAATGAAATTAAAAGTAAAATAAGTAGCCAACCTTATCACTGTCTGTAACCTACTAACAAGCTAAGGAAAGCATCAGATGAGCGAACTGAGAAACTAACGTTACGTTTCCCCACTTTAAAACCAAACAAACATGGTTACTCATCCTGCTGATCAGCTCTCTTCACTGCCATTGAAGGCTCCAACGTGTTTTCTTTTCAGGTGCTGCGTCATAACAGTGGTGCTTCCGTGCCATGTTCATTTGTTTTTACAAAAGTTGCATGTTACGACTTTTTTCACTTTACAAAGCGCAGGCTATTTTAATTATTGTGATCAATTTGCGCCGTCAATCCCGGCGCATGCGCGCTTCATTTGCAGTCTGGACGCTGAGGGTAAACTCCTCACTAAAATCCTGCGGCTCTGACTCTGACTGCCGCGCTGAGAGGGATTCCTGTGGGAGAGGGAGAAAGGGGTTGGGATGGGGGAGGCGCCCCACGGCAGGCAAAAGCCGCCAGTGACACCGTAAAAAGTCGCCAGATTTGTCGCCAGTCGCTTTTTTGAAAAATAGTCGCTGGAGGGGTCTGAAAAGTCGCTGAGTTGGCAACACTGCAACTGCGGCGCTGACTCGCTCCGTCATATTTTTTTTTCTTCCCCCGGATGACGGCGGCGGCGGATGACGCATTAATCGCGCGACACAACTAATCGATGATTAAATTCGTTGCCAACGCTTTTAAAAGTCGATTTTTATCGATTTTATCGATTCGTTGTTGCAGCCCTAGTCTGTACTTAATTTATATGAAAATAAGCAGGTTTTACTTACACATATTCATATTGGTGGCTCTTATCATCCCAGGTTACATTCAGCAGCACCTGAAAGTCCAACATAATAAGGTAAAAGCTCAAGCAAAAAAAGCTACTGAACTGTATACGACTTCAAATTGAAGCACAGGCTACAATTGCCTTGAATCTCCCAGTTGGAAAGAAACCATCGTTCAAGATCTTACAGCTGTTCCAGCAGGAAACAAAGCTAGGCCACCAACCAGAACACAAGAGGAAACAGATGACTGTTCAAGCTCAATTTCACTTTCCATTCCTCCTCCACCCACCCACAACGGCATGTTGGGGGGGTCTTTACCTTTGAGTCCACTATGTAACAGTCCAATCTAATCCAGTTCCACAGGGGCAACATTAGGACGGCTTTGAATGCTTCATCTTCCCCGCTTTTCAGTCGGGCCTGAATTATGATGTCTCCTACAGAGAAGATATGACAGTCATATATTTTGCCAGAGGAAATCCAAAGTTCTTTATTAATACATAACACAGTCTGTTCCTGAGTCTCACAAAACACACATCATCGCTCACGATCATCCCCTGGCTGCTCGGTCAAATCCTCCATGGCAGTACGCGTCTAAACAAGCTTCTGTGACCCACCTGTTTCTGAGAGCTGTATCAGCAGCGAGTCAAATAGATGTTTCCTGTCCACATGATGGACGATCCCACAGAGGTTTTTCTGACACCATTTTAGCAGGTAGATCCACACGGAGAAGGTGACGCTGAAAAAAATCCCAGGCAATAGGGCATGAAAGGACAAATCATTTATTTTACCCAGTCAGGCATCAGGTTGGATTTAAAGCGCTGAGCTTGTCTCCAAAAAAATAAATAACAGAAGAAAAAAAAAAAAACGCCTGACCTTGCTGTCCTGCACTGACCGTAAATAAAAAGCTTATATGCTTGGGTGAAGAAGCTTGGCGAAGCTCATAAACTCATTTATAAAGATGGCGAATTAATACTGAAAGCTAGGAGAGCTTTAACAGACGCTGAAAGAGAAACAGCCACTGACCTGTGGCAGTCGACCTGCTCTGCTTTCAACACAAACCACTACATTAAAAACTGCCATCACTGAAGTGTGACTCAGTGAGCATCCTCACAGTGTTTAACATGGTAAAAGCTTGCTTTTTGAGCTTTTGGCACAATATGTGCAGACGCAGCAGGGGATTTCATTGCCTGCTGTGTGGGTGAACCTTACAGGGAACAAGCCTGAGCTAAAATGAGGTAAATTAGGAGTCAGTGACTGAAGCCCACCTGGGCTCTGTTACAGCATGAAGACGGGCTCTCTCCAGGGCTTCGTTGATGAAAGGCTGGAACCTACGGACCACCCCGAAGTGCTCTCCAGTGCTTGCCAGAGGGAATTTTAGCATATCTATCACGTCTGCAGAAACAGAAAATTTTAAAGGCACTGAAGAAACAGTTGGTAATATACACCCTCCGAGAAAAAATATGTCCAATTGCAAATGGCTTAGGTTAAAAGCTCTAAGAAGTAGCATCATGCTTTGATTTATAGAAATTCTGGAAGAGAAGTGAATCAAAGTACTGTAATTAATCCCTCTAAGCCATCAGAGAACCGCACTTAAAGCAAATAGATTGATTATACAATATTTCCACTTAGTAGAACATTGACATGCTCAATACTTACATTTTTTCCACTGTACAGGTAATTTGTTGAAGGAAAATGACAGAATGATTAAGGGTCTTACCTGACTCATGTGGGCACTGATGGATTCTGCTGCTGGACATCAGCGACATGAGTTGAGCAGACCATGACGGGCATTTAGCGGGGGCTGTTCTCCGCCACAAGGAGAGCTGCACGACCTGCTGCACTTTATAGATCCTCAACATGGAGCCGATTTCACTGCCATTTTTTAAATAATCCAACCATGCTTGAAGCGTCACGTTCTGGGAGTCTAACGTGTGCCTTTGGAAAACATTGCTGTGATGGGACACAGATTGCGGCAGTCTGAGTAACACCTGCTGGACCCTGAGTACTCGAGGTTTGCTGCTGATCCATTTTCTCCTGAAGACCACCAAATCTGTCTTTCTTAACGCTGACAACACAACTTCCACTACGAGCTGACATGGCCTGGAGCACTGATACCGCACACGGACCACTGAACCATCTGCCACTTTGTCAGGGACTGAGTCAAACTCTATGAAACTGTCAGCTGTGGTGATGTTGCTCTGTGTTGAAGTAGCTTGTAACACACATGGTTCCTGGAGGAAGTTGGATGAAAAGGAAATGAAGAGATACATAAAGAGAAACAAAACCATTTTTTTTATCTAACGTAATTTAAAATAAGAGAAAACATACTGTATATCATAAGATCTGCTGCTCTATTCAGAATCTAAGTGACAGGTTTGGCTAGTTCTAATTAACCCACTATTTTGGCCTAGTGGGTATGAGCACTGCGCTTGTGCTCTGAGAAGGTTGCAAGTACCACACCAAAGAAAAACACCAAAAAAGAAAAATCAGAATTTTCTGCAGAGGAAACACACATGCACACAAAAAGTAAAAAAGCTAACCTTTAATTTGGGCACATTTACTGAGCAGATGAAGACAGATTTGATGACAAGGAAATCTTGTTTTCAATGACATCATGGAATAAAATAATTCAGCTGAAACTATTTTATGTTTATTATTCTTCATCTCCTTTAATATGTTTCTAACCATGACTATTTTCTTCCCCGCACTATAATAGGAAAAAAAGCATCTTTATAGCTTGTGTTGACCAGGTCTCCATAACAACCATTTGATCAAAACTTATATCCGTTGGTCATTATTAAGTTGAAAAATGTTTTAACGGCCCTAACATCACACATATATAAACATCTTTAGATTTGCTGTGAGCCAGTTTCTCTTCAAAAAAACACCCAGGGAACCTAATGAGAGGTTATGGCGCCAAGAACTCTGAAAAACCAAAGGTTTTCATAAATCACTGGAAATGGAGCATCTATAAGTATGGCTGGAATAAAAGGGAAAGAGTTCACCAGGCTGCGATCGACTGGAGACCTGTCCAGGGTGTACCCCGCCTCTCGCCCGTAGACAGGTGGAGATAGGCACCAGCACCCCTCACTACCCCGTTTGGAATAGGAGTGACAGAAAATGGATGGATGGATGGATGGATGGACGGACGGACGGACGGATGGATGGATGGATGCAGCTCACCTGGCACTAAACACACATTTTTCCACAACCACTTTTCGTTCCATTTGATGATCTAAATTAACTACACCAAGAGTCTTCGATTTCGGTCCTTAAGTCCAATGTCCTGCACCTGATCAAGTGGCTTAATCTCCCCCTAATCATTCAGTCAAGTTCCCTGGAGTTCTGCTAGTTTAACTCAGGTGTGTTGAAGCAGAGACACACCTAAAAGGTGCAGTGCAGGACAGCAACCCACAAGAACTGAAACTTAAGACCTTTGAACTAATGTCTGATGAAACACTATCAATCAAACCTCTTTGTATGCCCTATGTATGATCAACACTTGCAGGCTTTTTTCTCTCCTGTTACTCTGCCTTCCCCACACTCTAGAGCAGGCATCCCCAACCTCAGTCCTCGAGGCCCGCTGTCCTGCAGGGTTTAGAGTTTTCCCTGCTTTAGCACAGCTGATTATAATGATTGCAGTAGACCAAAAGCCTGTTAATCAGCTTTCAATTAAAGCTCTAGAGGAGTGACTGGTAGGTCAACTGGATACTGTTTACTTATGCCACGCTATGATAAACCATTGGCAACCTGTCGGATGACCCAGATTTCTTGTCTTCAATGACTGCTGGAAATCTGCATCACCCCTTCCTGACGCCTAAAAGGATAACCTGTGCTGTGTCCAAATGTACGCACTGATCCGAACGTCTAGTGGATTAAAAATTAGTGGACGTGAAATTTCCATCCGGGAGGGACTCGGAGTAGAGCCGCTGCTCCTCTACGTCGAGAGGAGCCTGCTTAGGATGCCTCCTGGACGCCTCCTTGGTGAGGTGTTCCGGGCACGTCCCATCGGGAGGAGGCCCCGGGGAAGACCCAAGACACGCTGGAGAGACTATGTTTCTCAGCTGGCCTGTGAACGCCTTGGGGTTCCTCCTGAAGAGCTGGAAGAAGTGGCTGGGGAGAGGGAAGTCTGGGCCTCCCTTCTTAAGCTGCTGCCCGCGCGACCCAACCCCGGATAATCGGAGGAAGATGGATTGATGGATGAATTGAAATTTCCCACAATGCACCTTGAAAAGTAATGATCATCCATCGTCACTGGAGGAGCAGATATATGCCAAATTGTTTTGGGTGGAGGGCTCTACTTGCAAAGAATTGTGGGATTTGTTGTAACGGCGGACCCCTGTCACCATAGGCTCTCTCTACCCGAAAACAGCGGCTAATAGCACAGAGGCCGCAGGCAGCATGTGGTTGAGACGGAGCTAAGTGTCCAACCGGAAGCAAGTAGTGATCACCTGTTCGAACGGTAAGTTACCTGAGTCCACTACTGTATATAGTCCCGCTCTATATAGTTGTTGGGGATGTGGGGGTTAGGGCAGACATTCAGACACAGCCCAGGTATAGATGACAGACTGACAGAAGCTCTGATCGTTTCAGCTGTTAAAGAATATCACAAGCTGTCCTATGTGTGAAAGGTAACTATGCAAATTATTGACAGCTGGGAAAACCAGCAATTTTGCTTCTGGTGATTTATAAAAGCATCTTTTTGACATGGTATTTTATTTCATCATGAAGTACATTGTTTTTCTCTCAAATTTACAATGTGAGTGTAGGCTAATACCACACAATTATAATATATTTACAGTATTTTTGCTAATCATTTAGAGGAATGAAAACAAAAACTCCCCACTAAGTAGATCAGATACCTACTAACAAAGTTTTTTGTTTATTTTTCTGTTGGGCAGCTTCCTCCTATAATGTGGATGCAGTGAACCAAAACATAATTTGTTTAGAAAAAAAATTAAAAGTTACATAAAACATATTTTTTAAACTACATAGATTTAGCAATACTGAAGCAAGTAGGTGCGTTTAATGTGAGTTTATTATAATTAAGTGCCTGAACTTGCATGACCCTTATTTAATTACTTAGGACTAAATAGAAAATGAATAAACACTCAGAGCTGCTTTAAAGATATATAACATGTTTGTGAAGAAACAGATGAAATCTAATTATGGTTGCATATATGACGTCTAACGTCAGGGTATCAAGGTTAGATAAAGTTGCTTACCAATAAAACACAGGCAGTGAAGACGTATCCAAAAATGATGGTTTGAAACCAGTTCATTGTGAAAGGGGGTTTCAGCAAAGCAGGACATTAAAAATGATTATTTCACCTTTGATCTAACCTCCTCTCACTGTCGTTCACCTGCCTGTTGCTTCTCAAACAAACAGCAGTTGTGTGAGCGTAGGCCTTGTAAAATGTGGCACTTCCTGATATTCCGGTCTAGCAGGTTCAGCATGAATTACCTTTAAAGGGCTAGAGCCGTGCTGAAAATGGCTCATCTGTGCTGTGTAACCACAACCTTTCACACTGACATTGTGTGTTACTCTAACAGGCATTTGATCCATGGGACTGCTGCTTCAAAGAGTCGAAGTTAATTTGAAGTTCTCGAGCCAAGACTTCAACATTACCTCATGCTCTCTTTGGCCTACGCCCCCACAGGACTTTGAAGCGATTTGATTTGAAAAACAACCTGATATCACAGCCAAAATTAATTACCCATGGGCTATTGACTTTATACGTTTCAAAGAGAATGAAACATTGGTAATGATGCCGAGGGGTTGCTTGAGTGACCACACAGAAACATGAGCCCGACCTTCTTGTCTATTTAAACGATGATTACTGCCAGGCTTAAGATGTACAGTCTCTGTTAGACAGCTGACGTTTCACAGAGGGTTTCAAAGCAGTAAGGACTTATTTTGAAAGAAAACTTTTGAGGCATTTGGAACCACAGAAAGTTTTACTCAATGGCTCTGCAGGACCTGTGCAGTTTTGCTGACATCTTTCAAGAAGGCGTATCTACTGTTAGAAATTTAACATCAGCTGTGAAAGAAGAAACTTCTAGCTATGTAACTGGTACGGCCTTTAGAAGTTCAACCAGCCTGTTCCATTTCTATGTACCAGTAGCAGATTATCTGGATGAAAACCCAATACAGTTTGGACAAATCAGCAAAATGCAGAGATCAAGTGGGATCCTATCCCATGAATCGCTCTCGTCACCCTCCTCCTTGCCTGCAAGTCTTCCTTTTACCTCCTCCAGGTCCGTACCTCTTCCCTTCCCCATGGCCCATGGGACAACCACCCTAGCTTTCATGTTTCAGGGGGGCGTCCTGGCTGCGGCAGACACACGCTCCAGCTGCTCCGGCCTCGTGGCGTGTCCAGCCTCCCAGAAGATCCTGCCCATTCACAGCCACCTGGTGGGCACCACCTCAGGAACGTCGGCCGACTGTGCTCTTTGGAAACGCATTCTTTCAAGAGAGCTGCGGCTGTACCAGCTTCGCCACGGACGCCGGTTAAGCACCAGGGGTGCGGCCAAACTGCTTTCTCACATGCTGCACCCTTTTAAGGGGACTGAACTCTGCGTGGCAGCAACACTGTGTGGGTGGGATGGAGGCGAGCTGGATGATGGATGTCATGACCCAAAAGACTCAGAGACTGATCAGAGTGAAGGCGGAGAAACTACAAAGACTGACCTGGAAATGGCTGTAGGTGCCCCCAATGAAAAGGTTTCTCTGTCAAAGACTCAAAGCCCTTCAAACACCAAGCTACAATGTTACAAGAAAAAAAAAAGCTTCTCTGGACCAAGCCTGTTTTATGTATACAGTGATGGAACTCGCCTAGAGGGATCACTCTTCTCTGTGGGCTCAGGATCACCCTACGCCTACTCCATCTTGGACCAAGGTGTTCGCTGGGGTCTGACAGTGGAAGAGGCTACATCAATAGCAAGAGAGGCTGTGTACAGAGCCACCCACAGGGATGCATACTCCGGGAACTTTGTGGACATCTATCACGTCACCTCAAAAGGGTGGACTCGCAGGACGCGTGAAGACTTGAAGGAGGAGTATTACAGAGAAAAGGAGAGGAGAAGACTTGAGAGCGAAAGACGACGCATGATCTCGTCAGAGTAAAGCAGACAAAGGGAAACGTCTGGAGGAAAGAAAAGCAAACATCAGGGCGTAGTTCGCAGAGACAAGGCTGCATCTTTGGAGCAAATACTAAATTAATGAACACGACAGGCAGTTGCATCCTCCAGGCTATCTCTCAAAAGATAGGGGCATGCATATCATCCCATTTAATAAACAGCTGATGTTTTGTTTGCACTGTGATAAAAAGTGCTCTAACAGCATCAAGGCACTGCTGGCTGCCATTTTGATGTAGATGTTAAATGATTACAAATCATTTCATCTGAGATAATTACCACCTACCCCTTAATGTGCTTTAATCACATAAACAAGAACGATAGGAGACAATGAGTAGTGTGAGGATTTCAAAGTTGAAGCTCATGATGTATTCTTGTGTGTGGGGAAACACATTAACTGCAGCAATAAAGGAGCAGCAGCTGAAATCTGATTTGTGCCCACTGTCAGAACACTTCTGAATTTTCTCTGACGCGTCAATAAATTAATGAATAAATGAGATTTGGCTGAACTTGCCTGTTCATTTTGTGAGAAAGCTGTGCTCATAAATAGAACTTATTATTCAAATGACAATGACTCTGCAGAAGGATGGTGAGAGGAAGGGAGCAGTTAATCTCAGCCTAAAGCCACACCTTTCTGAATCTTTGTAAAATAGTGGCATGGAAGTTACTACATGGGAGGTTTTTAATAGCATGCTTAAATATGTGTTTTCTCAAGAATGTGTGATAAGCTGATATGTGGAATTATGACATATGGTGTGTGGCAGAGATTTAAATGGCTACATATATGTATGTGTGCAGTCAGTGTGTCTATATGCTATTAACGGTATAAAATAAATCAGACACAATGATCTCTGGCGGCAACATCAGCAGAGATATGCCCTCTAACCAATCTCTGGTTGGATCTGAGAGACTAAATAGGGAAGGAATCTCTTATTCAACCATCTGATCTAAGATCTCCATCTTTGGAAGACAGAATTAGTGTGGAAAAAGAGAAGAGTGTTTTTCAAAAGAGCTCTTGTTTGTTGATTTTTATTTTCTGTGTCTGATTTTGTCTTTTGTGTGTGCAAACAGAGCCAGTGTCTCACCATAATTTATTATGGTTATTTGATAAAAACTCTTTATCCTCCATGAAGACTCTTGATTACAACCAAAAACTACACCCCTAACAGGGCAGCTATCTGTTATGTTTTGCACAAATCTGGCCATTGTTTAAAGAGAGCCCGAGGAGGCTCCATGTAAAGCTACCTTCACATACATTTAAAAGTATAAGACAAAGAGAATACATTTTTATACAAAAAAATTGATCAAATCAAATGATAGAAAATTATCTTCATTCCATTAATAAAGACTTATTCAACAGTGTTTAAAAGTTTTAAATTATTTCATGATCTAGGCGCTAATGACCAGGCTTCATTACTCATTTCATTCACCTGCTTATCTCCGCCCATTTCTCATTATCACTCATCTCATCCACCTGCTCCAGCCTCTATTTATTTTGCCTCCAGTCATCACTGTCAGATTATCTGAGCACTTGGTGAGAATCTTCTATCAAATCTTAGTGTTTTCTTTTTGCCTGATCCTGACCCGTTCTGCCTTTGGACCTTTCAGCCTGCTTAGACTTCTGCTAATTTCTCCCTGTTTACTGAACCTGGAACTGATTCCTGACACTGTGCTGGATTTCCCTTTAGTACCTCTTCAGATCTCTGATCTTCTGGCCCGGATTCCTGAGCACCTCCTCGACACTGATCGTCCTGTCCTATTATATAAAACTGTAACTGGAGCGTGTAACAAAAATAATTTCCCTCTGGGATTATTAAAGTATTTCTGATTCTGATTGTCTGGCCAGATCTGATCTCCTGCCTGTTTTCTGACCTACAGAACTTCAATGTCTGGGACTCTCTGGGAAGCGTCCGCCGCTTCTTGTCAGCGGCCGACCAGCCGAAGCAAACCTCATCCTCTGGTCACGGACTGAACTTTAAGACCAGGTTGGGGACTTACACGTTCATTGTCATCCAACTAGACGTGGTCACTAACCTGTGTTCTCTTCCTGTAGAGGTTCCTGCCTTAGATGCCCTTGCTGTTCAATGCAGATCCGTCACTTGAAATAAGCCCTTTTTTGAGATATCAAAACTTCTGTCTGCTTTGAAAACTGGGTCCTCTACTCTGAGCCTTGACAAATATTATGAAACCTATGCTAGTATCATGAAGTCTTTGAGTTTGCAGTAATAACTCTATGTGAGTTAGTATATGGTGACATGAGAAAGGATTGTTCAGTGGTAATTCAATCTGAAAACCTCACATGGAAAGAAAAAGAAAATTAGAAGAATCTTATTGAAACAATTATTTTAGTCTTTGGCTTTCATACCTCATTAGCCAACATTACCTCTGAATTTTGTTCGATATGCATGGATAGGAGTAAAGAACAGGGATGTTTCCCTCTAGGCCTGACAGTGGTGGTGGAGTGGAGATTGATGAAGTTGGTCATTCCATGACTGCTGGTTGGCGAGACGGTATGATGAACATTATGGGGAGATCCATTGGACTGCGTGAGCTGATACTAGTTCTTCAATCAGGTACCTGAAAGATGGAAGTCCAGCTTGAATAACACAGGTTGCGTGAACCTGTCCATGGATGGACAGGTTCACGCAACCTCCAGCCTCTTCTCCACCATCATAGCTAAACCTTCATCCGTTAAATTGGGGTTATCTGAATCAAAGTCAGATATAGCGCAACAACTGCCTTTGCTTGGGTAGCAGACTGGTTAAATTGGGGTTATCTGAATCAAAGTCAGATATAGCGCAACAACTGCCTTTGCTTGGGTAGCAGACTGAGTGTTGGATTTGGAGACCTTTTAAGATGAACTCTGGATGCTCATTGGGCTTTAGTGGAGGTGTGGTTCAAAGCTGATTAGCTTGTGTTGGAGGGTAAGTAATCAGTTTCTTCAGCTGAACTTCCACCAAGGCTTCATTAGGATGGGAGAGAGAGATGGAACCAGTTAGAAATGGGAGAGAGAGATGGAACCAGTTAGAAATGTTCAGAACTTGAGACTGCAGTGGAGGTCCACCTTTTAGCCAAAACAAAATGGTTTAGTTTGAGGTAATATAATTTGTCTGAAAGGGTCCACTCAAAGTCCAAACCAAAATCCAAATTATCATCTGTTGTAAGAATTGAAAGCTAATGTTCACACCTCCTCTACATCCAATCTGAACTGAAAACATTCTGATGCAAAGGAACAATTTTGTGAGACTTAGACAGCTTTTATTTGTCATTTTGTTTATACAAGTGTAAAACAAAAAGAAATTTGGTTTGGAACAGCTCTCTGGACAATTTCATCTCTTCTTTCAAAGTGCAGCCTTGAAAAATGGTATTAAAAAAAAAAAAAAGAAAAAAAAAGTGAGGATCAGATAATCAGATAATGATGGACTATTATCTCTTAAAGTCATATTTAGCAACATTTTTTGGCATTATTTGTAATTATTGATTTTATAACTTTTACAATACTATTATACAGTATAAATTACAATAATCTGTGCCTTTTCCCCCAGCTGGATTATTGTAATTCACTTTAACAGGAACTATCCAGGGCGATTCATCACAGCTTTAGCTTCAGCAAAATATGTTTGCACATCTTTTTACTACTAACAAATAGTACTAGGTAGTAGAACACAAAAGCCCATCACTCTTATATTAGACTTAGGTTTACATTTTAATTTCTTTTGTTCGCTTTAAGCCGTGTAATAGCCTAACATCACCAAATTAGTCCAACCTGCTAAACCCAGCCTAACCTCCCCATCTCGTTTCCTCAGGTCCACCAACCAGCTGTCACGGGTGGTCCCTAAATCATGGAGGAAACTAAACGGTGATCAAGCTTTGAGGCCCCAAATCTTTCAAAGATCTGCCTCTGCATAAGACAAGCTCCTTCTGTTTCTAATCTCATTTGAAAAAAAAGTTTTTATTCCTTGTCTTTAACACGTTGCAGTTTCATTGTTGCACAGAACTCTGGCAGCCATGTTTTCTTTTTAAAGCGTCATACAAACAGATATGGTATGATGTGCTATATGGATGCATTAGTTTGTGTTGCGCTGTCATGTCAAATCTCAGTGAACTACATTGGAGCCTGTGGTTGTAATGTATCAAATGAGAAAGATGCTAGCAGTTATGAATACTTTTTCCAGGCAGATGGTTCATATTAAAAAGCTGGAGAGAAATGACTCATAAAACAACGACATCATTTCATTTTTCTTGACAAGAGAAGCTTGGAATAAAAGTCAAGTGAAAATCTGGCTTTTTTGTTGCTGTTTTGGAGCGGTCTGTTCTCACAAAGTGAATGTGACGGCCTACATCTGTTTTTATCACTTGAAGGAACTTTATAAACATGACCCCAACAAGATGATATCTGCCAACGAAAACTTAGATATAAGCTCAGAACATTTTTTGCACATAAAAATAACAAACCAAAAAAAAGTGAACTCCTTAACCCTACCAATTGGGTTTCACTTTGTGCTTACTCAGTAGTTGGCATTTATACACAGTGCTGGGTGGAAGGGGGGCTTAGAAGTGCTGTTAGGGTCATTCCATCTCTTTGTGACTTATTTTCAGGATCTCATACTGTCTCATCATGCTTGTAGCGAGAGTAGATAGGAAAAACTCCCTTTTAACAGGAAGAAACCTCCAGCAGAACCAGGCTCAGAGTGAGCGGCCATCTGCTGAGGCTGACTGGGGTTCAAGGAGAAAGAAGCAGAGACATAAAAAGCAGCTGTAAAAGGCGGCCCCGAAACACACAGCCAGGCAGACAAGCTCACAGCCAGCTCCCATGTCAGAGGATGAAGAGAGAACATCCAGCCAGTTACGGTCAGAGAAACAGGACTACACTGGAAAATAGGCAGAACCTGAACATCTATAAACAAAGGTGTTGATGGCAGCAGCACAGTTGATATTTCTCTCCAGGATGGAGTCACAGCCAAACAGGAACAGACGAGGTGAAGCAAGAAAAGTGAGAAAAAGCAGAGAGCAGAACATTAGAGATAGAACTAACAGATTCTGCAGAGAAGGGGAATAGAGATAGAATGAAGCAGAATGATGAAATAGGGGTCCCTATGTCCTCCAGAACTCTAAGCCTATAGCAGCATAACTATAGAGATAGCTCAGGATAATCACAATGACTCGATCAGTCATGACTGATCAAGACTGCCCTTTTTAAGTATACAGTATTCTTAAATACTGCATTTCCCCATGTTGAGCCTAGTCTAAGCTTCCTTTTTTTCCCTTTTGTAATAGAAAATGATTAATAAACCAATATGTCAAAATACTTGTTTTACATTTATTAAGGATACAAACAAAGCCACCAATACTGTTATAACAGTCAAGAATGCTGACTTATCATAACACCATTCAAGAGAAATAGGCATCAGCACAGAAGTTAGAGAAGCAACTGTTGCTGCTTTTTAAATTGGGCAGTGTTAGAAGACCAACAACTGATTAAAAAAAATATGAATGAGGTATGTTGGCTTGTGTTGGGATCCAAGGTTTGCCCTCCAGAGGGCAGTGTGGATCCCATTCGTTGGGCTTCTGTTTCTGTTTGGATCCAGGGGTTTGCCCTCCAGAGGGCGATGTGGATCCTTCCCTGGGAGCTGCTGTTCAGCATTCACACCTGACCCCCATCAGCTCTGCTGATTAAGCTCTCCCTATTTAAGCTGAGGGAGAGCTTCCCTCTGAGCCGGATCGTAGCCATAGCTCTCAAGCCATGGGTTCCCAAGCCTTGTGTTTCCTAGCCATGTGTTCCCAAGCCATGTAGCATGTCTTAGCCATGTTAGCCGTGTTTTGCCACGCTTTGCCATGTCCGTTACCTGTGCTACTCTGCCTGTCTGAACCAGCGAACCCGTGAGTTTTCAGTTTAGTTCTGATCCCTGAGTTTAACCTGTTTTCTGTCCTCTCTGCCTTCCAGGGCAGATTACCGGTGTTCTTAAATAAATATTGGACTGATCCTTCCTCTGAGTCTGTGAGTTCTGCATCCTTGGGCTAGCAAACCTACCACGCATCATGACAGCTTGGTCAGACTAGCTTCAACTGCACTGGGAAACTTAAACAATAAAGGAGAAGAACAAAAATGTCTTTCCAGTTAAATTAAACAAACCTACGTTTAAATAGAGAGTGTGTCAAAAATCCTCTAAGTCTAAAGGGATGCTGAAACTGATCAACTCACTGAGAAAACAAATACTTCAAGTTATAGCAGCTAAATGTTGGTCTACATCACTCTAAATGTTAGAGTGTACTAACTTTTTCACAGGTTTCACATTTTTCAGTGTTTTCCTCCCGTATCACCTCACTGCAATATGTCAGGAAACTTGTTAACTTTATCATCTTTACACCGACTTCGTTTTTGGGCTTAAATCAACCAAATGAATCATCATGAAGAAATAAACAGGTTTGGGAACCACATATAATAGCTACAAGTCCATGCAACCAATTGTGATGACAATCTTCCTCCGTCTGTTCCTGAGTCATGGCGATACTGAAGTGTCCACTCCTAAAATAAAATACAGCATGAATGTTTGGCAAGGGGGATAATTACAGTCAACATGAAGACATCTTTTATGGATAATTAGAAAGCTGTTTGATCAATTTTACTCTGAAATGCAGCACTTAGTGCCAGTTTTCTTCTGATATTTGAGAGAGGAAGAAAGAGAAGTGCAAAGTTTTTGTGGATGATAATGTGTACTGCTTGAGTTCTTGTAGATTCCAAACTCTCTTCCTCTCTTGACCTGGTACCAATTTTGATTTTCATAGGAAAACCTAAAGGGTTTTGCTGTGAAAAAAAAAGTGAGCTGGCACTTAGTGAGGTCATAGTGGATCCATCCAAACAGATTGGATTGAGATCTTTTAGGATGATTGTGTCAAAGATAATTTATGTTACTGAGTGATTTTATTTTTATATTTGAAATATCTGGTGGGACATATCTTTTATTTTTCATTTTTTCCCCCTCAGCCAAGGCCCCTTAGGATCTTTATAATACATGCACACACACACACTCGTTCTGCCATCGTAGTGAGGACCATGTGTTCACTCCCAGTGCCATTGATTTTCAGTCATGTTTAACCCTTTCTATGCCCTAACCCTAAACCTAACCATCACCAATGCATACATCACCCTAACCCTAAACCAGCTGACACTTTAGCACTAAACCTAACCATTACCAAAATAGCTTGTGAGGACCAGCAAAATGTCCTCACTTTGCAACAACTGGTCCTCAATTTGATGGTGAAATTGGAAAAATTGTCCTCACTCTGAGGGCCAGACAGTTACACACACACACATACCCACACCCATATGTTGCCACTGCATATGGGTCCGGTCCGGCTTTACTGCCCATATGCATCAGAGAGCCTTGCCCTCCATTGACCCTGTCACCAAACCTCCTTCCTAAGACCGCTTTTAAAAGAAGCTGGATGCTGCAGATCCCACGTAGAGCTATAGTTTTAGAAATGCTTTGACTCTCATTTCCAAGTCATCTTAATCTGGGCAGTGCAAAACTGCCTTAAATCGTTAAGCACACCCATTTTTTCCTCAAACTACATCAACTTTGAGCAAGAAAAATAACAAACATATTTTATTTGTCTCACCCAGAAAAAGAAACAGGTGCAGTCATGAAAAAAGAATCAGTGTAATTCACTTCAACAAATGAAACCTGAAACAACTGAGACAGTTTATCTTGTCTATGTTATTCAAAGGTCACATCTGTCAAAAATAGAAGGCTTTTAGTGTAACTGTGGCTCTTTTTCTGAGGTAGTTACAAACTAATGGAGAGCAGGGAAGAGAGAAAGATGGAGAAACACAGAGAGAGAGAGAGAGAGAGGGAGATGGGAGCGGGGGATAGAGAGAGCGTGAGGGAGACTGGGATAAGTGGACAGATTTCACATAGAGCTCGCATGAACCTCAGCATCGTCCCCCCCCACACACACACAGGACTCATTTCTGCTGTAATAAACCACAGGAACAGCACCGCGGAACCCACGGTAAGCTCCCCATTAACATAATAAACCACTTCTTCTTTTTTTTTTCTCTTTTTTTAAATCCTCACAGTGATGTGGCAAGTTTCCAGCAGTATCTTGTCTGATTTAACGTTTACCAATTATATCTGTGGGGCTCCTATCAAAAGAAGGTGGTTTACAAGTGTTTTACTCAGTTTGAGTTGGAGGCGCACAGAATGCGTTTTTGGTTACAGCGAACATGTGGGAGCTGTTCAAGGGACGCAAACTATTATTTTCGGTTAATTCTGGTTTATGCAACCCCATGATAAACCATTTAATTTATTATTCATTCATTTATTTATTAGTATATTGCTAAGCGTGGATGCGCACCCGCTTGACTGTTGTGCGCGCGCGGTACTCTGACCAGCCGCGCGCGGAGACGCTCAGCTTTATTCCCCAAAAATGCCGCCGCTGCATCAGTGAGCGCGTGGACGGCCGGTTAGGAGCCCGCAGCTGTATGTTTTGGGACGTGGCGTTGATTCTAATAGTTATTCCCACTGAGTTTAGTCACATTAACATCCATTTACTTTTCCTGTTTTGTTTCTAGCAATGCAAGGTCACGCATGCAATGGTCCACGAGGTTGGGCGTTAAGTGCGTGGGCTTTGGCGTGTGACCCACAGTAAAGAGAAGCAGTGAGCCATCCTGCGCTGTGGGAAATGTCATGTTCTGGCGTCTTCTCCAAATTTTGCGCAACTTGGTTCTACATTATAACGACGAAATAAATGGATTTTATTAAGATTTTAAGTGACACATTGACTAGGGTTGCCAACTCCCTGAAAAAAGGGACACCTCAGGTGAGCTCCAGCTGACCCCCTTCCTGGCATGGTGATTTTTTTAGCCCCCCTTTGTGTGGGAAATTATTTTTTTTTATTACAATTTGACTTAAATCTGCATTGAATTAGATGGATATTTGGGAGTGACATGAACACATGGAAAAGAAATTATTATCCAGCAATTCACTTTATATACAAAATAATAAACTTTGCTGGATGAAATAAGTATCTTAAACATAAGCCTGTCCTGCTTAACTTCAAACTTTAAAAATGAATATAAAACAATAAATAAATAGTTCACATTTTGGTTCAACAGCAAACTTGTGCAAACTTGTAAACATCGAAGGTGCACCAACCCCAAAAACAGCGTCAGTATTTAAATTACTCCCCCACACTGATCTGTTGTTTCCTGCTATCTTCTTCATCAGCAACACTTGGCTCGACCAATGGGATCATAAGTTGTCAAATCATTGGTCACAACGCAGGACAGGGCCTGAGAACAAGTTTACTATAAGTTTTGTATCCAATGTGCCCTTGTGCTTCATTTTCAATTAACTTTTTACTATTTTTGTTTTATTCTCACAGTAATATGGGGCAAAGTGCGTTCCTTTTCCACTGAATATGGTACGGATACTTTTATTTCTAAATACGAAACAATTCCATTTTTCAAGGGCTGATTGGCAACCCTCACATTGACTGCTAAGTGGAAATATAAAGATGTTTAAAAGTTTTCCACAAATAAAACTCTAAGACCTGCATTAATAATCTGCCCCCATCCTTCCCAAAAGCTAAGAAGCATCTCCGGTTGTAACTGCAGCTGTAGTTCTGATGGAATATTTCTGCTCCAGCTTTTTGCATTATTATTGTTCTCCTTTGCTGATAATTTAAATCAGATTAGGCGGATGATATCTGCATTGATCAGATATCAAATCGTAAATCTGGACTTAGGCTTCTCCCATGTGAAGGTGCATTGATCTAAACCATATAGTACCTCTGGCTGTGTTAAGGTTTGTGTTCTGTTTAATGAACCTACCTCCAACAGGTTGTTTTCGTGCTGAAGAAAATCATGCCCAGAACATGATTCTGCAGTAAACCAGGCTTTCTTCCACATATAGTTTCATCTTTGTAGGTCAGATGGACTTTAGTCAGAATGTTTTGTACACAGCCTCTTTGCAAACAGACGCTCTCATTAATGCAGCGTTTCTTGTATCTTTCTACCCAATATGTCTGCTGTGTTCCATGTTTTTCACGATGATTTATTTTTACTCTAATTCTCTGAAAAATCTCTGAGGTGTTGCTGCATTTATACCAAGATTAAATTACACAAAGTTGGAGTGTTTACTAATTAGCTACTTGTGAAGTCAGTGGATTGGATTTTCTCCGGTGGGATCGGACTAATTCCACCCCAGGACTACTAACCACATTGTGTAGCTCATCACATAAAATCCCAATAAAAACACTCCGACAACTGTTGTGCTAACGTAAAAAGGATCAAGTGGTATGAATATCTTTCCAAAGCACTATAGGTACATCATCCTTTTATTCATGGAGGCAGTTTTATTTGACAAATAAAGTACAAGGCTGAACACTTGCTCAGCACATTGACTTTGCTGTTGTATCACTTAAGCTGTCTGCGTGTCAAACCTTGACAATAATGAGAAGACTGATGTGCTGAGTACAGTGTGCCTCTCTTCATCCGTCTGATTTGGATGGACTTAAGAGATTTGCCCGTGTGCACTGAGGAGAGAAGAGACTGTGAGAATGGATGAGAGGACTGAAGGCATTAAGACGAATGGTGGAGGCTGAAAAAAAAGCAAGAGATGTGCAAATGGAGCAGAGTGTGTCCTGGCAGTTAAAGCCAGCCCCCCTTCCTGAACCAACACACACACCCCTACCCATATTCTAGAGTACTTTCACCACCACTCACCCCCTTGCTCCCCTCATGCCTCCCATCTCCTGTCCCTCCCCCATGTAAAAGGCCTGACATGCACAGGCTATTTTTAATAAAAACGAAATAGCCTTGTTGCAGTGAAGCGACTCAATGCAGAGTGGAAGTGAGACTGAAACAGCGATTTGCAATTTGGAGCTATGTCACCACTCATCATTCCATTCCGAGCCAGCAACGGCAAATCGTCCTCACGCTTTCATCCTCTATCCCTGCCTTACTCCATACACAGGCGCGCACACACATCTCTGAAGACTTCAAACAACGTTGAATGACATGTACTGCTGGCAACGTGGGCTTTGGAGCAAAGCTGCCAGAGAGGAACGTACGCCGCGAGCTCAGTCTCTGCTAATGCACAATAGCTGGGGAAGACAAAAGTATTTTGGAAGAGCCACTTCTCGGATTTTCCAAGGTTTAAGATGCTGGCAAACAGATGTAGAACATCAGGCATTACATGTAGAGTGCTTTTGTAATTTGGGAACATAATAGAATGAGATGCACAGCTGAAAAAATGAAAGGTGGGTTTCTTTTCTGAGAAAATTCAAAGCAAGAAGGGCAGAAATGGCTTTATATGCCTCATAATCAATTGTCTACTTTTTAAATGGGTCAGTAACTAGAGAGGAACATGTGTCCTTGTTTTACTATGGAGAATATCAGTTTGGATAAATCAGTCCGTGTTATGGTTCTCATTATGGAGTACTATCAAAGGCTGCTACTCTTCTATAAGCACACTCTGCCTTAAGAGAATCAAAGCACATCCTTATCTGGACATTATTACATCAAAGAAGACCAGATGATTTAGGTCTGTTCCTATACATCATTTTATCTTTGATTTCTGTAGCTCGAGTGCTGTCGAAAAGTAACTGTTTTGTTTATTCTGTCTTTGCTTGTATGCATAAAATCTTTCATATTGTAAAAATACAAAATAAATTCAAAAGATTCATCCATTTGTAAAGAAAATAAATCTATCAAAACACTTGGTTATATGTGGAAAAGTACTGCCCACCCTTTGAGAAAATTTGGCTTTAATGATAAGATTATAAGTGGTTTAAATCTTTTCATACCTCTTGTAAATCCAAAATAATTTCCTTTTGGAAATCAACGGTTCTTGATCCTACTGTTAGAATTAAAGTAAACAGCATCCTATCCATTCCTTTAAAGATGTGAACAGGGATGCCCCATGTTATATTCCTTAAACCCTTTGTTCAAGTAATTAGGGGAATAATCATTTAATAGGCTTAAATGGAAGCAAAAAAAGTATAAAATAAGTGCCTATGCTCATGATATTTTGTTAAGCCTTACAAACCCTGAAACTCTCATGGCCTTAAGCGTTTTGCTCTTGCTTGAGCTACAAAGTTAGCATAGAAAACAGTCAAGACCTCAGTTTTAATTACGTACTGAAAGAAAACAACATTTAAAGAGGACGATCTTTGTGGAATACCTAAATAATCAAATACCTTGGAGGAAGGTTTCTATAGAAATAAGAAAGTATCTATAAAAAATAATTATATCAACTGATACCAAAACTGAAGTAAACTGCTGGTCATTACTACTCATTAATATGTATAAACAAACCGCCTTTATTAAGATTATTATCTCTCTAATGCCTCTGATCCATTTTCAATCTCCACCTTACAGCAATAACTAATAAATAAATTTCTGAATAGAGCGGGATGAATTCATATTTTATCTGTGATAGGGTTAGGCAAAAATATCTGTTTTCTAAGAAAGAATATAATTCCCCATTGATAAAATCAAGGTGAAATTACACCAGATGCATTACGGTAAAGCTGCGTGTGCACATGCTACAGCATTCTCTTTCAAACAGGTAAATTATTTACAGTAGATGCATAGGACAAACATAATATGTGCGCGAATAGGTTGAGGTTTTTATTTCAGACTTGTATACTTTCCTCTTTAGCTAGGAAAAACAAAACCAGGAAAAAAACATCCAGTGTCAAAGTTCTTCCTGCAACACATTATGCACCAGAAAAATAAATAAATTTTAAAAACCTATAGTTGGTCATCAATCAGTCAGAAGTTCTACATAGTTGCGAAAAATTTAAATGTGATTTCTAATCAGATAAGCTTTTAGATGACCAAAACATAGGATATATTACTGGTAATTTCATAATTTACCCATATCTTACCCATACCCAGTTCTTCTCTGTGCAAAAGCCTGTTGCTGAACCAGTTCCTATCCAGCACACTTTGCAGCGTAACTTTTAAATTCTGTTTACATAAATACCTGTGTAAATTGTGCTGC